AGCTGTTGGGGGCAATGTTACAATACTGAAATTGGTCTGGATGACTATCTAAGAAGGAGCCCAGGCAGCCAGTACCTTGGGCAGGCTCCACATCACAGTGCCCCTGCTTCCTGTGATGTGTCCCATTCCTGTAGCTGTTACTGGCACAGTGTAATTGGGGGTCTGTGAGTACATGATCGCCTGGCGGGTGCTTGCACTGACGCGTTAGGGCCCGTGTTCAGCCCTCAGCCACCTGCTTCGTGATTGGCACATCATTGCTTTTATAACAATTCCTGGGAGTGTCTGGGCAGTTTTTAAAGTGGTTGGAAGAAGGTATTCCACGAGTACATGAAGTGGGTAGACTAGTCCCGAAGTGTTTTAACAGCAGCCAGATGGAAATGCATTCACACGTGTACATAAGCAGACTGGTGCACAGCTTCAAACCCCACACAGTTGAATTTGAGGTGCACTTTAGAGCCTCTTCTTGTCTGCGCTGTGATCCTGAGATAGAATTTGGCAACATGAAATAACCCAGAAAACAGATTTCACGTAAATTTGGGGAAGAGCCTTGGTGCGTGCTGTGTCCAGTGGCCGAGGCGTCCTGAAGAGCGACTGGCCCAATGTCATCTCACATGGTGGCTTTCCAGGAGTGGAGGGCTGAAAAGCGCTCAGCCCAGCACACAGTGTCTCCTTACTCTATGACTGCTTCCATCCCTTCGAGGAAAGATAGCAAGGTTGATAGAGGACGTTCTGCAGTGTTGTATTCAGTGTACCAAATAAAAGTTCGAAGCTGGATGAACAGGTAATAGGGTTTTCTGTTTCAGCAGAGGGGTTGGTACTGGAGGTAGGTGCTGATTGTCACTTAGCATTGCTGACTGCTTGAGTGTAAAAGCACATGGACTGTGTAACGTCTGTTTTCTGTGATACAGTTTAATTACTGATTCTGTCTCTGGTAGCTGTCAAGATCAAGAAAAATAAGGACAATGTGAAGTTTAAAGTTCGATGCAGCAGATACCTTTACACCTTGGTCATCACTGACAAGGAGAAGGCAGAGAAACTGAAGCAGTCCCTGCCGCCTGGTGAGTGAGCCTGAAGTCTCTTTTGGGGTGTGAGGGGGTTGGAAGGCTGCTGTGTGTGGCCATCTTGTATCTTGTTTTGAATTCGTCCCAGATTTCAGAGCCACTTTATGGTCTAAGATTGTGCTCTTGCTGTTGGGAGTGTGAGGAATAGTTGTGATTCTCAGATTATATACAGTACCAGAAACGCTTGCCTTAGCCAGAGGAGAGGTTAGAGGTCATTTAGTCCTGTTCACAACCCATTAAGGTTGATGCTGGTACTGATAATTCCTGTTTTGTACAGAACTGATTGAATATGAACTGATTGAATATGAGAGACCAAGTCTTTAATATTTTAACCGACACCTCCCTGGTGGATCTGATTTCTGAACCTTGTGTGCTCTCTTTAGCTTAAGTACAGAGTCTAGACAGGCAGCAACAACTCAGGTGTCTTCCGGATGGGTGTCTTCTGGATAGGTGTCTTCTAGATGGCTTACCTTTGTCTCTTTCCCTCCAGGTTTGGCAGTGAAGGAACTGAAATGAACCAAAACACACTGATTTGACTTGTATGTTAATAAATACTAAAAATCCTAAGTGTCTTTTGTCTTTGAGGATGGGGAAGGAAAAAATGCTACCTGGTAATGGCTTCTGGTGGGAACAGGACATGGGTGCTATTAACGCCTCCCTGCATCCCTCATCTGTTTTGTGGGGTTTTTTTGTTTGTTTTTGAGACAGCTTTACTTTGTCACCCAGGCTGGAGTGCACTGGTACAGTCTCTGTCCACTACAGCCTCTCCCTCCTGGGTCCAAGCAGTTCTCCTGCGTCAGCCTCCCGAGTAGCTGGGATTACAGGCACAGGTCGCTACGAGAGGCTGATTCTTGTATTTTTAGTAGAGATGGGGTTTTGCCATGTTGGCCAGGCTGGTCTTGAACTCCTGCGGTTTCACTGCCTGCCTCGGCCTCCCAAAGTGCTGGGGTTACGGGTGTGAGCCACCATGCCTGGAGCATCCCTGACATGATCTCAGTGGGTAAATGAGGCCATCTGTTTTTAGCCCGAGTTTGAAAATAAGGAGACGTAGGGAAGCCGTGATGGAAATAGCCCCTGGGATTAAACACACTGGCAGCTGTGGGGGCGATGGGGCATGCCATTCAAACAGGTCCCAAAATGGGTGTAGTGAGGGCCAGGCTCTGCCACTAGCTCACTTGCCTGACGGAGAAATGACTTCAGTTCTGCCCATTTCCTCAGTTGGAAAATAGCCATATTAACACTTCTTGGACTTGCTGTAAGGGTTCTGGGATAGAAGGGGAGACGGGCGCGGGTTGGGGTGGCCACCAGGTGGTGCTGTGCTGCAGTGAATGGCCCGGCTAGAAATACCAAATCTGTGCCTTGGGCCCGAGGTTTTTTTAAATCTCTGTTTTAAAAGTGTGCTGCACAGTGTGCTTGGTGTTGTGTGAGGCATTTACACATGCTCAGGTTGTGAGGTGTGAGTGCCAGTCTTTGCATATTCTGCAAGGAACGTGAGGTGGTTTTGTTTTCTCCGGGAGACAGGGTATGCTGGCCCTCAGGCCCAGGTGCAGGGCTGTGGGCGGCCTCAGCTTCCCCGTTCTGTAAACATCTCGGATTCCCAAGGAAGAGCAAGTGTTTACCACATGGGTTTTGTTTGTTCCCAGCACATCGTCCAGAGATTGATCCCAGCTCCTAGGAGATGGGCCCTGCAGGGGTGTGTCCGGCCTTGTCTAGAGAAGGCCGCCTTTCATGTGGTGCCTCCCAGCCCTGGCTTGTGACTCAGTCACCAGGGACACTGAGGCAGTTCACTATGGTGGCCGGGGCTGGGTAGAGATGGCAGTTGCGGTGGTCTGTGGCATAGGTGTGTTTCCAAGCTCTCAGGTGGGCCACAGCCTTGGGGGGCTTCAGTGAGCCGTTAAGGGTTGCACACCAGGTGAAGGTGGGGGAGTGTTCTCTAACTCCCTGCTGAGTCCTGGGAGGTCTGTTCATGTACTGCTTCCACTTTTTGACACCTGTAGGTCAGCAGGCCGGGGAAGCAGCTGGAATGAATGGTCCCTGTCTGGATGCATGCAGGTGGGCTCAGCAGGTTTGGACGATCCAGGCTGCGTTTCTCTGGCTGTCGGAATGGCCCTGAGGGATGGCCTCTGCAGTTTCCTGCTTCCAGTGCCACATGCAGGCCTCCAGCCTTCTCGGGCTCCCCTGCACCAGGTTCAGAGTCCTCAGTGACTACCCACTGCCCAGGAAGCAGGCTCTTACACTTGGGGGGTCTCTGAGGGCTGGCGCAATAAAATGAGGTTTTCACCCAAAGAAGTTCCTTTCCTACCACAGCCTCCACGCCAATCACCTGGCTCCTGCAGTTCTCTGGCTCCCCTCTCCCCTCTCCTGTTCTGGAACTTGCTTCTCCCTCCAGCTGCCCTAGTCCCTGATCTCACAGGGTCCTGTTCGCTCTGCACAGAGCTTCCCCCAGCACCCCCTAGTTCACTGGCATTTCACAGGGCCTGCAATCGCTGCAAGATACAAGCCCACCTCACCTCGCCTACTAGGCTGTAGACACCACGCAGGTGGGAGCGTGGTGTTTTCCATCCCCTAGAGCAGAGAATGTGTTCAAGAAAATTTGTTGAGCTGGGGAAAGATGGCCCAATGAGAGAAGAAAGGGCGTTCCTGGCCTCCCGGGCCCCTCAGCTTTGGGCTCCTGCAGATGACGTGGCAGCAGGGCCCCGGGACTGTGGGATCACGAGGAGAGGCCCCAAGGGCAGGACTCCCTGATCTGAGCGCGGGGTGATGGGCCCCACCCCCAGCAGCCATGTGTGTTTGTGAGCCCCCTCCCCACTCCCATCCCCGCATCTGCCGGGTCCCTTAAGCCAGAACCCTAGGAGCCCCGCCCCGTCCTCCCTGCCTCCCTTCTCTCCGCAGCCTCTGCTGCGGTCACTGCACCCCTCAGGCTGTCTGCCCAGTGCGGCTCCTCCCTCCGCTGACGGTCATGCCAAGCAGTTTGCGGTTGCAGGACCGGTGGGGGCCTCTGCGTGCAAGTACTGAGGTCCCAGGGGCACGAGGCTTCCCCGATGGGTCACCCCGCCTCCCACCCCCACCCCCGCCATTGCTTTTCTCCAGAGTCCCTCCTGGCCTGTGTTCGGCGTCTTCTCGGGTACTGCGTCACCGCCTTCTGCAGTGCCTGCACTCGAGGTGAGGGTTTTTGTCGGCTTTTGCCACATCACCGATGTAACGGTGCCTGGCACTTGGTAGGTGCTCAATAAATACATGCGCTTCAGTCTCCCCAAAGGCTCGTCCCTTCCGAGCGCTCCCATCGCTCTCCTACCTTCCACTCTACACAGCTCGAAGGCCCCCTCCTCCAGGAAGCCCACTGTGTCCTGCTTGCCAGGAAGAATCAAGCAATTTTTCTCAGTCCCTAGGACACCTCGTCGTCACTCAGGCGTCCTGCAGGCGGCTTCAGTGAGTTGTTGGGGCAGATGCGCCGGGAGCTCCTGAGAGCAGGGACTGCTTCTTATTTCTCTTTGGGTCCACAGGGCTCGCACAATAGATGGCCAAAAAATGATTGAGAGTGAATTTGGAATGAGTGACCGAGAGGCTGAAGACTGCCTCCTTCCGTTCCGGGTCTGTCGGTTACTTATCCTGTGACAAGCCCGTGGGACGCGCAGCCTCCCCTCTCTGACTATGACTGCTGGCTGCCCCCACTGCCTCCTATACCCTTGATCTGATCATAAATAACAAGCAGTCCGGGGACCTCGCGACTGAAACGGATTTAGAGACTTCTGGGAGCTTTTTTCACTTCCCTCCCACCTCTTCCTCCCCTCCAGCCAGGACAGATCCCCGCCCAGAAAGGGGCTGTTGGCTGTAGGAGCTGCGCGCCCAGAGCTGGGGCTGGGCCGGGATCGCGGCGGTGCGGGACGGGGCGGGGCGGGCGCGCGCCCAGGGAGAGGCGGGGCCGGGGGCGGGGCGGGCTCGGGGCTCGGGGCCGGGGCCGGGAGGCGAGCGCAGCTGCAGCTCAGCGTGTGGGTCGCACTTGGGCCGAGCCATGCAGGCGGCGCGCGTGGAGTACATCGCTCCCTGGTGGGTCGTGTGGCTGCACAGCGTCCCGCACCTGGGCCTGCGCCTGCAGCCCGTGGACAGCACCTTCAGCCCCGGCGACAAGAGTTACCAGGAGGTGAGTTCGCGCCGTCCCAGATCCCGGCCACGCGCGCCCAAAGTCCCCACACTACTCCCTCTCCCCTCGAGAACCTGCACTTTCCCACGTGCCTCTCAGACCCCTTGTCTCCCCGCGCAGCCCTTTCCTGTCTCCCCTCTCCCCTTCTCCTCCACCCTCCCAGGCCCGTGGCCCGCGGCCCCTCCGGTCTGGGAACCTGGGGGCCGGGAAAACTGAAGAGATGGGAGTGAAGCGGGAGTGGGGAGGGGAGGAAGGGCGCGGGACCGCCTGCGGGGGAAGGGGCTGAGCGTCGAGCTGGGAGTGGGGTAAGAGCAGGGTCGGGGTAGGGGCCTTCGTGTCGGGGTAATTCTGGCGCGCAAGATGCGGGGATGCTGAGGGCTGCCCTGACGTTTTCGACTTTCTGAGATTTCAAGATGGGGCGCTCTCTTTCCGAGGCTGAGTGACCTGGGAAAGTTTGGCAGAAATTGAGTAGCGTCTCCTGAGTCGGTCTCTTAGCACCCCTCTTCCCCAGCCCCGGCCTGCAGGGTGGGATTCCCTGCCAAGACCTCAGCCTGAGCCCCTGCTGGAAGGCTGCAGGGTTGGGGGAGGCGGCGTGGGTGATTTTCCCTCAAGCGCAGAGAACCCACAGCTGCTTGTGCTTGTTCAGGGAAGGAAGGCGGCCTCGGTCAGCTCATCTCACTGTTGCCCAGAGGTCCCCCTTGTGTTGACTGCCTGCCTCTCCTCTGTCCTCTGGTCCTGGGCTGGCCCATTCCTGTTCCCCCACACACCTCTCCCCACCCCACACCTTCTAAGCCCTGAATTTCTGGCCTAGGGGAGTCACTCCCGGCTTCCCCCCACCCCTTTTCCTAGTCTGCTGACCCTCCCCTTTGTGGGATTCTGCACCCCACGGACAGGGCCAGGGCTCCCCAGACCCCCCTGCCCAGACAAAGCTGCAGAATCTCCCAGCCCGACTCAGGTCTGGTCCTGGGAGTCCACCTGTATCAGTTTCCAATGTTGGGTCAAAGATTCTGGGGCCGGGGCCCAGGATGGGGTCCATTTCCTCAGAGCCAGGCACCCATCTCAGGACTTTGACCCCCAGCAGCCTCTCCCTGTGTCAAGTTCCCCAGATACGGGGCAGGTCAGGGCAAAGCTGGGCCTCTTGGAGGGACTCCTGATCCAGCTGAGTGTGAGGCGCCCAAGCGCCAGTGACAGGGAGTCTAATAATAACCCCTGGTGACCCAGCTGCCATCAGGCCCAGGCAGAGGGTGCCTGCCCTACCAGAGGCAGGGGAGCATCAGGACCCCTTCCTAGGGTTCAGTGGACACTTGGGAGCAAGGTGGCAGTCAGTGGGCACACCTGCCCCTCTCTCCAAATCTGTCTCTGCTCCTCCCTCCCCCAGAGCCCAGCCTGTGGGAGTCTGTGTTCCCTGAGAATGTGGCTGCCGGCGGATAGCTCCAGGGAATCTTCCTCTCACAGAGAATGCATGAAAAGAGGCGGATATGATTTCAGAGACAGCTGTGTGTGTGCATGTGAGAGTGTGTGTGTGTGTGTATGTGTGTGTGTGTGTGTCTCCATCCCAAATCCTGTGTCCCTGATCCCACACCCGGGGTCTCCAGCCATAGCTTTCACCTCTCCACTGGAGGAAATTTAAACTTCTCATTGTGTCAACAAGACCCCCAAGTAGGGGTAGGGATGGTAAGGGGACTCCCTCACCCTGCTGGCCCCAGAGACAGTTCCTATCTGCCCAGCAGCTGTGGCTGGTGGAGCCTGGATCTGCCCACAGCCCCCTCAGTTCCACAGACAGGTGTCCGCTGAGCCAGAGGAACCCACTTGTAGCCCCTGCCCCCTCGTCCCAGGATTCTGGCCCTGGCTCACTTTGTGCAGGGCGTCAAATGGTTCCAGAGGGTGTCCCCTTCCCATCGGCCACTGCTTCTGGGCAGCTGACACCGGCCCTGCCCACCAGCTCATGGTCCCACTTGCCCCTCCCCACCACCCAGATCGCTGAGTAGGAGATGAGCATGGCGGGCCAGGATGGGAAGCCTGGCTCCTGGTGTTATTTAAGGCGGCTCCTATTTTGGTAAGTTCCCCTGTTGTGACCACAGGTCTCTCCTGGACATCTTCTTTCCTCCTGAGCACCAGTCACTAACAGTCAGGCGGACCATCGGTCATCCCAGTCCTCAGCAAGCTGGATTGGGGAGAGTGCCATGCCAGCCGTGAGGTGACTGTGATAACCAAGGCAGTGAGTCTTCAGGAGAAGTTGCTGAGGATTCTCTGGGGCTGGACTCTGGACTCAGTGCTGTGGCAGCCACCACACAGTTTGAGGTGGGGGCTCAGCCTTCCAGTTGGCTGGGGTGGATTTCCAGTTCTTTCCATGTGTGACCATGGGTAGGTGTCTTAACCTCACTGAGCCTTGCTCCCTTCATCTGCAAGAAATTGATGAGATATTCCACATATGCCTAGTACGTAACAGGACCCAGTGACACAGATCTTTCAGCGGAGTGGCCCTGAGGTTCAGCAGTGTGTCTCAGGACAGTACCCCGTAGTGGGACCGAGAGGAAGGAGCTCTCTTCTGCAGACTCTGATCAGGGGAGACTGAACAAAACACCTGGAGAGATCGCGTCAGCTCACACCCCAAATGTTCAAATGCACAGTGCTGGCTGGTGGCACAATGTGTGTGTGTGTGGTGGCGGGGAGGGTGCATCAAAGGCTAAGCAAGGATGGAAACAAGTGGGTACTGGCCTCCGGGGATGTGGGTGGTACATGGAATCTCAAAGGCAAGGGGGTTCTTGAAGTGCAGAGATGGTGAAGAGCAGATCACCTGGTGAGCTGGGATTTCCTGAGCAAATTAAGTTTTCCAGAACCTTCCTTAGGAAGTAGGGGGTCTCACTCTCTGGGGTCTTTGGGAGCAGTGGAAGCCCCCAGTCCTCCTGATACTTGATCCTTGGCCCCCTCGCCCTGGTGAACTTGAGCCTGAGTCCTCACAAAGGCCACTTGGCCTGCGTCACCAGCCTTGTGGGGAGGCTGCCCTCCAGTCAGCAGAGGCATGTGAGGTTAGTACCAAGCCAGGGCTGTGGAGGAGGGCACCCTGACCCTGGCGGGCACCCAGCTCCAGGCTGCCAGGTGTGTCTGTGTGTCTGGAAGGAAATCAGCCTAGACCTGCAGTCCGAGTCTTCTCACCTTTGGTGAGGAGGATTGGATTTGAAGACGATTCTTACTCCAAAGATACAGTCAAAAGACTAATGAGTTTGTGGATTATGAAGCCTGCGGCCAGCGCCTGGCACACTGGAAACTGTCAGTCACGGGTTGGGAAGAAGACCGCAGCCAGCCAGGTGTCTACTGGGCAGTGTTGGGGACAAGGGAACGGGCACCTGGCACTGAATCCAGCAGTGTCTCTCTGAGCAAATAAACGAGGCACTTCGGTGTCCTTGCCTGGGTGTGAGCGCCACCATCACCATCCAGCCAGCCCCTCAGGGAGGCCAGACACTGATGAGCTAAGTGCTTGGAACGTCTTAGTAAGCTCCCAAAGGCTGTGCAAATGTTAGTTGTTGCCGCTGTCAACAGGCAGGGCCACCTGTGTGCTTCCGGTTCCGGCTTCCCTTCCTGGGATCCGCTGGCCAGCCGCTCTTTCGGGACACCTGTTAGGAGGCAGAGAAGATTTTTTTTTACTTTTTGTATTTAGGCATGTATTTCCATGTGTTCTCTTTGGGTGGTTCGGTTCACACACTCCCCAGAGTACAAAGCGGAGGGTAGAGAGTGGGATTGGATGGAGACGTGGAGGGCTGTCTGCCGCTGACCTGCAGCTCTGAGGAGGAAGGACCAGGCAGCAAGCCCATCCCAGCCAAGATCTGAGAAGAGCCAAGGTTGGGATGGGGAAGCCCTATTCATCCAGTGTGAAATTGAGTCATGGTCATCAGACAGTCACGTCGAGCCTGGGCGAGGGCTTAGCCTTTCCCAGTGGGCCTGGGGGGAATCTCTCCCTGTAGGTGCCCCTGGTTTTCCTCTCCCAGCCTCACCCTGAGACCAGCTCACCTCTCTCCATCCCCCCTGGGGGAGCAAGGCTGTTGCCCCCTCCCCCACCCAGTGCAAAAGCCCCTTGGGTCCAGCTGCCGTGGTCACTGCTGCCCCCCGCTTGGGTCCCAGCTTCATGCTCCCTGCTCTGGGTTTTTCTGGACACAGTGAGAAACCAGAAATAATTGAAGTCCCCTTGATGAGGAAAGAGGCAGAGCCTGGGCACCAATGTGGGCGCTAGGGGCCTGGTGTTGCTGTGAGATGTGGGGGTGGCTGCAGTGCACAGTGGGAAGCGTGGGTGGCGTGGGAAATTGTCTTGGCCAGCCTCTGTCCGTCTGAGCAGGCGGGCCTGGGGGCAGAACTCTTGGCTCCCTCTTCCTTTCCCTCCCCCTCCATGCACTCGGGAGCATGCAGTGTTAATTAGGAACAAGAAAATAATTGCCCATTAGAGAGCAGCAGGTGACACCAAGCTGGCCCTGGGAGACGGTGCTGCTGGCCGGAGCTCCTTCCTGCTCTTTTCCCTCCTCCCTGGCCCTCCTTCCGTTTTCTTTCCTCTTCCCACCTCCTTTTCCACTTACACCCTCTGTCCCTGTCCCACCCACCACGAGCAGTTTGCTCCCAGTACCCAGGAGGGCTCGGGAGGGTTCGGGAAGTAACTCCCTAACAAAAGGCTTCCAAAGGCTGGGCAGGGTGGCTCACTCCTGTAATCCCAGCACTTTGGGAGGCCAAGGAAGGAGGCTCACTTGAGCCCAGGAGTTGGAGACCAGACTGGTCAATATAGTGAGAGCCTGTCTGTATTAAAAAAGAAAAAAGAAGGTTTCCAAGTTTTGGTTTCGTAGGCCTCGCTTTCGCTGGGGCTGGAGAGCGTTTATCAGTATCCTAATTGAGGCCAGCTGCCCAGCTTGGCGAGGCCCCAGGCCACAGAGGCCCAGCGCCTGCCGAAGGGGGAGATCGGGAGGCTGGAGGAGGCTAACCAGGGAGCAGCTGCATCACCCACAGCCTGATTCTTCTCGGATGATCCTTCCTTGCTGAGCAGGGAAATTGGTAGATTCAGGGGCTTTTTCCACTGGGGATAAAATAGCAGTGGAACTGTCAGGAGGCAAACTCGAAGGGTAGCTGGGCTCCAGGCTACACAGGAGGTTTGTATTTAGGAATGGGGCTCCGTTACTTTTTTTTTGTCATTAGGAATAACTTGGCCAGGTGCGGTGGCTCACACCTGTAATCCCAGCACTTTGGGAGGCCGAGGCAGGTGGATCATTTGAGTTCAGGAGTTTGAGACCAGCCTGGTCAACATGGTGAAACCCAGTGCTTACTAAAAGTACAAAAGCATTAGCTGGGCATGGTGGCATGCACCTGTAATCCCAGATACTCGGGAGGGTGAGGCACGAGAATCACTGGAACTTGGAATGCAGAGGTTGCAGTGAGCCAGGATCGCGCCATTGCACTCCAGCCTGGGCAATGGAGCAAAACTTTCACAAAAAAAAAAAAAAAAAAAAAAAAAGGAATAACTTACAGAAAAGAGTATCATCTTAAGTGTGCAGCTCAATGAATTTATGCCCACAAGCATGTGCGTGGTGTGTGTGTGTGTGTGTGTGTGTGTGTGTGTGTGTATGTGCAGCACCAACCCAATCAAATTATACTCCTGACCCCCAAGAAGCCTCCTTCATGCTCCCGTGAAGTCAGCACCCTCCCAAAGGTAGCCATGATTCAATGATTAATGTTTCTTTGGCTATTGATGAGTGTCTCTGACTTTGAACTTCATATAAGTTAACGCATACAGTCTCTGTTGTTCCGTGTCTGGCTTTCATCCTCTCCCTGACTTCTGGGAAATTCGTCCCAGAAATGTTGTCACGTGTGGTGCAGTTCCCTTTTCGTGGCTGTGTAATATTCTAAAACTGTAACACATGTTCTATATCCATTCTGTTGTTGGTGGACATTGTGTCTTTTTGAGTATTTGACTCACTGTTGTGTGAAGCTGCTGTGAACATTTGTGAATTTTTTTTTTTTTTTTTTGAGATGGAGTTTTGTTCCTGTTGCCCAGGCTGGAGTGCTATGGTGAGATCTCAGCTCACTGCAACCTCTGTCTCCCAAGTTCAAGTGATTCTCCTGCCTCAGCCTCCCAAGTAGCTGAAATTACAGGCATTCGCCACCACACCCAGCTAATTTTTTGTATTTTTAGTAGAGATAGGGTTTCTCCATGTTAGTCGGGCTGGCCTTGAACTCCTAACCTCAACTGGTCAACCCAACTCGGCCTCCCAAAGTGCTGGGATTACAGGCATGAGCCATTAGGAATAACGGCCAGGCGAGGTGGCTCACACCTGTAATCCCAGCACTTTGGGGGGCCGAGGCGGGTGGACCACCTGAAGTCAGGAGTTCAAGACCAGCCTGACCAACATTTGTGTATCTTCTGAGGGACACAAGCCTCCTTTCTGTAAAGCAGAGTTGCTGGGTCATAGTATGCATGTTGCACAATGGTTTGCAAATTGGTTTTTGGGGTTTTTGTTTTGTTTTGTTTTTGTTTTTTGTTTAAGAGATAGGATCTCATTATGTTGCCCAGCCCAGGCTAGACTAAACTCCTGGGCTCAAGTGATCCTCCTATCTCAGCCTCCCAAGTATCTGGGGTTACAAGTGTATGCCACCATGCCTGGCTGGTTTGCAAATGGTTAGGAAGATCCCTGGGCTTTAACAGAGGGGCCTCAGGGGCTGCCAAGGGGTGGCCAAGACAAAGCATGGCATTTCCAGCCACTCCTCACTCAGATGGGGCTCTGTGTTTCAGGGCTCTGCTAAAAAGTCAGTTTGAAGAAAAAGTTAAGCTACTGGAAAAAGTTTGAGAACTTCTGTTGACACTAATCCAGCACGTCCCAGACTAATGGAATATACGCTGCCTGGGGTCATCTCTAGAGGCCGGTCTGATTCACTGGCTCCAGGGTGGGGCTTGAGATTCTGCACCTCTAACAAGTTCCCAGATGTCAGGGCCACACAGGTCACAGAGTGGTGAACTTCACTTTGAGGAAAGAGGCTCTCAACTCCCATCTGTCCAGCCTCTTCTGCCTCGGCTTGGGCTGCAGGGCCCTCTGGTGAAGGGGCATGGACTGAGGACCAGAAGGGGGCAGTAACTTTCCACTGGCTCTTCTACCCCCGGGCTTGCTGGGGTCAGTCCCAGGGACAGGTCATGCCAATGAGTGGTCCAGGCAGGGAGAACCCCAGCCCCCCAGCCCCCACCCCGTGCCACACTGTGAGGTCTTTGGGAGAGGGAGGTGCCCAGATCTTCTGGGCCCTAGCTTCCCAGCTGCCACTTTTTTTTTTTTGAGACAGGGTCTCCTTCTGTCACCCAGGCTGGAGTGCAGGGACATGATCATGGTTCACTGCAGCCTCAACCTCCCAGGCTCAAGCGATCTTCCCACCTCAGCCTCCCGAGTAGCTGAGACTATAGATACATGCCACCATGCCCAGCTCATTTTTTATTTTTTATTTTTTTGTAGAGAGTATCTCTCTACATTGCCCAGACTGGTCTTGAGCTCCTGGGCTTAAGCTATCCTCCCACCTCGGCCTCCCAAAGTGCTGGGATTATAGGCGTGAACCACCACACCTGGCAGAAAGCCACATTTTAAGTCAAATCCATCTGTTCCCCTCCCAAGTGAGCCATCTCTTCTGCCTTTTTCTGGGCTGCCCCCACTTCAGCTGAGAAGTCTGTCGGCCAAGAGTGACCAGCAGAGCAGCACACATCTGGGGCACGAAGGCCCACCCTCCTCTCACCAGGCTAGCAGTGTGGCCTCCACCAGGGGTCTGTCCCCCTAGAAAACGGCCACAAGGCCCTGGGCTGCAGAGCCCAGCTTGGTTTGTCTGGGCTGTCTCGGTGCGTGCCTCTGTCCCTGCACAAGTCTCGTCTCCCCCTTAGGCCACAGGGTCCCAGAGTCACCCCTTCCTGCCAATTACCACCCCCTGAGTAGGCTCCCTGAAGCAGGCTTTCCCCAGCAGCCCCCCGGGACACTAGGGATTCGGGACCGGGAACCCCTATCGGGGGAGCATGGAAAGCGGGGTGGCTGTCAGCTCAGGAACCTGACTTAGAGCCAGGTTCAGCCCTGGCTGGCAGCCACCAACCCTGATGCCATCTGGTGCCCATCTGGTAAAATCAAGAGATGAGTGGGGAGAGAGTGGCACCGTGCCTCCTGACAGACTGTGGCTCCCTTTGCAAGACCCTGAGGTGCTAGGCAGGCCTCGGGCCCCTCCAGCCCTCTCAGGATTCTGGCTTTGCTGCTGCCGAGGGCACTAAAGGTTCAGCTGTCCCTGCCGGGGTGCAGAGGAAGAGACTCCACAGTTGCATATCCTGACTCTCTGGCCCCCTCATGCATTCCCCCAGTATGGAGCTGGCTTGAGTCTCAGGATGGACCCCAACACCTAGAACAACCTCTTCACATTCTAGGTAGAGAACGTGATCAGGACAGTGGGGTCCTTGCGTGGAAGAGGCAGCAGGTGCACAGGGCTGTCTTCCCGGACGCTGTCTCAGTGGCACTCAGCGCCTGAGGCCTCCAGGTGCTCCGGTCCTGGATGGGGTCCCTCTCCTTGCCTATCACCCTCAGCCATGGAGGTCGCCACCCACAGCCCTCCCTGCCAGCCAGGGATTCCTGCCTTGTCTCCTGTATGGCTCACACTCTTCAGCAGCAGGGCCTGGTGCATATCTTCATCCAGGGTCTGAACCAGAAACCGGGACCAGCGCTGGCACGCCTCCCTCACTGAGCACCAAGCTCACCACTTGGCCTCGTGCCCGCTAAGCTCCATCTTTCCCACCCAAGTGCCTCAGTGCTGGGCCCTCTGTTTGCAGAGTAGGAGCTTGAACTATAGAAGGAGCCCGGAAGGATGGATGAGAGACACAGCTCAGCCCTGGTCCTATCCACAGCCCAGGCAGCGGGGCACTCAGAGCCCGAGGGCAGGGTACTTCCCAAGCCCCCACTTCGGGATGAAGAGTGACCACAGGCCTCCGCTCTCTTCCAGTCACTGCTGTTCCTGGTGCTAGTGGCCGCCGTCTGCCTGGGCCTGAACCTCATCTTCCTCGCGGCTTACTTGGCCTGCGTGTGCTGCTGCAGGCAGGAAGATGCAGCGCAGACTAAGCAGCGCCAGTCCTGCTGCATCACCTGGACGGCCGTGTCGGCCGGGCTCGTCTGCTGGTGAGTGGCCCTGGGCGCTGGGCCTGGGGGGTGTGGCTTACTCTGCAAGGGGCCAGGGACTATCTGGCCATGTTCTCCTGACCGAGCTGTGGCTACCTTGATGGAGAAGCTCGTCCCCAAATGAGTGTTGTCTCTTTTCTTACCAAGCATGAGCAATCAGATGCCTGGAGTGATGATGGGGTGTCCAGAAAGGTCTCCCAAGTGGCCCCCCAACCCCTCCCCCAATATGGGTTTGTCTTGTGCCCAGCAGCCGTGCAGGCTGCTCCCTGAGTATACCAGGCAGCATTCCCAAACCGACACTGGGCGCCTCACCTCCAGTCTGTGTCCCTGTCCCCTCCCAGCTGCTGCCCTGGGTCTGTGAGGTCAGAAGAAAGTTTGACTCCAGCACAAATCAATTCCACCTTCTTGTGAGATCAGTAGCTTTTAGTGCCATTAGCCAGACCTTCTTTGCTTTGGATGAGGAATTGAGAAATTCATTCCCTTTTCTCTCTCTCTCTCTTTCTCTTTCTATCTTTCTCTCTCATTATCTCTTTCTTTTTTTCTTTCAAGATGGGGTCTCACCCTGTCACCCAGGGCTAGAGTGCAGTGGTTCGATCACAGCTCACTGCAGCCTCAAACTCCCAGGCACAAGCAATCCTATTTCAACCTCCCAAGTAGCTGGGACTATAGGTGCACACCACCATGCCTGGCTTTTTTTTTTTTTTCTTTTTGTAGAGACAGGGTTTCATCATGTTACCCAGGCTGATCTCAAACTCCTGAACTCAAGCGATTCAGCCGCCTCAGCCTTTTCCCAAAGTGCTGGGATTATAGGCATGAGCCACCACATGGGCTGAGACTATGTTGCTCAGGCTGGTCTTGAACTTCTGGCCTCAGGTGATTCTCCCACCTCAGCCTCTCAGAATATTGGGATTACAGGCATGAGCCACTGTGTTGGGCCTTTTTTTTTTTTTTTTTTCCTTTTTTTTTTTGGGACGGAGTTTCGCTCTTGTTACCCAGGCTGGAGTGCAATGGCGCAATCTTGGCTCACCACAACCTCCGCCTCCTGGGTTCAGGCAATTCTCCTGCCTCAGCCTCCTGAGTAGCTGGGATTACAGGCACGCACCACCATGCCCAGCTAATTTTTTGTATTTTTAGTAGAGACGGGGTTTCACCATGTTGACCAGGATGGTCTCGATCTCTTGACCTCGTGATCCACCCGCCTGGGCCTCCCAAAGTGCTGGGATTACAGGCTTGAGCCACCGCGCCCGGCCTCATGCTGGGCCTTGAAGTGAGGATTCCTAACTCCCGTGCAGGGGTCTGTACCCAGCCCCCCACACTGCCTGGCCACCCCACCACAGCCAGTGTCCACATGCATGCTGGCTGTTTTCAGGAGATGCTGCATTTTTCTTGTTTTTAAATCTATAGAGGCTTTTCCAAAAGCCTCTGGTGTCCATGCAGAGACACTTCTGGGGTGTGGTCACCCCAGGGGAGTGACCAAGACACCCCTTGGGAGTCTTTCTCTACCTGGCAGCAGGCTGGCAGCCAGGCAGGTCCTGGTGAGCCTGGGGCTGAGGATTCCTGGGTTCTTATCCCCAGGCAGCTCACCTTGCCCCTGCAGTTTTCTCCTCTGCTGGAAGATGCTCTTGATCTCGTCCTGCACGTAGTGTGAGGCTCACTCACACACCCAAAACACAGGCGAGATGCTAAAGCAGCTCTGTGGGGCTGCCGAAGCTCTGAGCACAGGGAAGGGGACCAAGGCTGCTGCGACATGCGGCCAGGGCTGAAATAAGAGACTCAGAGGACACAGTTCTGGACAGGTCGGAGGTCACAGGCGAGTGTGGTTCCCAGTAGAATGGAAGAGCTTTGAGAAGCGACTGTGGTGTTAAAAATCCTCCTGCACGGCCGGGCACAGTGGCTCACGCCTGTAATCCCAGCACTTTGGGAGGCCGAGGCAGGAGGATCACCTGACCTCAGGAGCTCAAGAGCTGCCTGACCAACATAGTGAAACCCCATCTCTACTAAAAATACAAAAATTAGGGAGGCTAATTTGCCTAATGGCCGCAAGGTGGATCGTGCCTGGAATCCTAGCTACTTGGGAGGCTGAGCCAGAATCGCTTGAACCCGGGAGGCGGAGGTTGAAGTGACCTGAGACAGTGCGGCTGCATTCCAGTCTGGGCGACAAGAGTAAGACTCCATCTTAAAAACAAAACCCTCCCGCTGAGGCTGTGCGGCAGTGCAGGGTGCATGGGGAGGGGTGAGACTGGGGAGACACCCGGAGAAACCAGCAGCCCCTGCTGCACAGGGACCCCTGTTGCATGAACTCAGGTTTTTTAATTTTTAGTTTATTATTATTTATTTTTAGTCAAGCTTGCAAGGTTTTTATTTAGAAACAAAAAAACAGAGGCTGGGCATGATGGCTCACACCTATAATCCCAGCACTTTGGGAGGCCGAGGCAGGAGGATCACTTGAGGCCAGGAGTTGGAGATCACCCTGGGCAAGGTAGTGAGATCTCACCTCTCCAAAAACGAGCCAGGCATGGTGCCTCATGCTTGTATTCCCGACCGAGGCAGGAGGAGGATGAGCCCAGGAGGTGGAGGCTACAGTGAGCCATGATCACACCACTGCACTCCAGCCTGGGTGATGTGAGAGCCTGTCTCTTACACACACGCACACACACACACACACAGAGAGAGAGAGAGAGAGAGAGAGAGAGAGAGAGATGACAAACCTGTTTTTTGAAGAATACTTTGGAATGGTAAGAATGGCGTGAGGAGTCAGTTCTTCCAATAAGAAAGAATTCCCTGCAGTGTAGGGAAAACTCAAGGCGGAAGGAATGTGCCTGGCCGAATCCATCCCACAACATTCTGGGCTTTACTCATACCAGGCAAGAGGGCGCCAGCAGGAAGAATACAGGCACCAAGTCTGCTTTCTGGGTCTGTCAGCAGGGGCTGCGAGCTGAGCCCCAATTTGCTTTGAATCATTATAACTGAGGAGAGAAGACCAGGCATAGTGGCTCACGCCTGTAATCCCAACACTTTGGGAGGCCAAGACAGGTGGATCACTTGAGGTCAAGAGTTCTAGACCAGTCTGGCCAACATGGCGAAATCCCATCTCTACTAAAAATACAAAAATTAGCTGGGCATGGTGGTGGGCGCCTGTAATCCCAGCTACTTGGGAGGCTGAGGCAGGAGAATTGCTTGAACCTGGGAGGCAGAGGTTGCAGTGAGCTGAGACTGTGCCACCGTACTCCAGCCTGGGCGACAGAGGGAGACTTCGTCTCAAAAACACAAACAAAAAAAACTAAGGAGAGAGCTCTGAAGGAAAGGAGCCGGCATAGAAGTGGATGGCCCACCTGAGTCCAGGCGTCCCTGGGTGACAAGGGCACCCAAACCCGTAGGATGAGAAGGCGTTAACTTGGCAAAGGTGGGGGCAAGGGAGGCAGAGATACCTCCAGGCAGAGGGAAGAGGAGCATTAACAGGCCCTGAGGTGGGAGGGAGCACGAGGCTAAAGGAAGCCAAAGTGGCCAGAACAGATGAGGAGGCTGGGGGCCCTGCGGGGTGAGCAGTGAGTGGCAATGGGATGGGGAGAGTGTCGCGGGGTCAGAAGACACAGCGGGCAGTTGGGATCCGAACCACAGAGCAACTCATAGGTTGTGACTTGGGTCAGGGTCTTTATACTAAGAGCCAGGGGAGCCACAGCGGGGGCCCTGCAAAGTGGTAGGGTGACCGGGTAACCCAGTTTGACGGAAGTGAGTATTCGTGACAGCGGGACCTGAAGGCGAAGAAGTGGTCACCGGGCAGCAGAAGATCAGAGGCCTAATGAGGGCAGACAGTGACCCCAGGGTTAGCAGCAGCAGGAGCCACCACCACCACCGGCAGGCCAGAGGGCCAGAGAGAGAGGCCATGTCACTAGGGAAGCTGGAGCCACACAGCCTGCCAACAGGGGCTGCAGAGCAAGGGGCACAGGGCCCCGCTGCCTTCCCACCACCTCCAGTCCCCTGCCGGCGCCTCCATCGGCAGAAGTCAGCTGGCAGGGGAGCCAGAGACATTCGGTGTGAGGGATCAGTCCCCTGTGGTGGAGAACAGGGCAGGGGACAGAGGAGGGACAGGTTCAGGCAGAGGGTCGCATAGACAGTGACAAGAGTAAAACTCGGGCTATTAGGGAGGCCCAGTTGGAGGCGGCGGGCCAACACCCGGGCATGGGCAGGGCCAGAAGAGGGGTACACAGAGGAAGAATTGGCTGGGGAGGTTCAGGGAGGAGCTGGTGAAGTTGATCTGCAGGTTTCTGGCTTAAGCACCTGGATGGGGTGGCGGTGCCATCCTCCGAGGCGTGGGACGTTGGCAGGGAACCTGAAGAGAGGCAGACGGTCACAGTATGGTTGTGCACAGATTGAGTTTAAGGGGCCTTTGAAACATCCATGTGGAGTTGGAGTTATAAAGCTGGGGTCATGAGGGCGGCCGGTGTGGCAGCCACACACATGGGGGACCTACGTAGGACGCGCACAGTGAGAAGAGAAGGGAGCTGGGGCCAGCGTTTAATGGCTGGGACACAAAAGGTGCCTGTGAAAGAGACCAGGAAAGAGTGTCCCACCAGGAAGAGCTGGGAATCCCGCAAGGGCACAGGAGTCACGGGGCAGCGTGTTCCAGGAAGAAGAACCAAGCTGACCACTACATGTGGGAGGGGCGTTGGGAAAGGCCCTTGGGTTTAGTGGCAGGGAGGTCATGGGTCACCTTCACTGGAGCTTCGTCCACTGGGACACAGGAACAGCCTGGCTGGTGTGAGCTGTGGGAGGGGCAGGAAGGAGAGTCGTGACAGCAGCAGGAGAAGGGATGGAGCTCAAGGCTGGGGGACTGAGGTGGGAGGACACATGAGCTCTGCTGACATGGCTCCGCTGGAAAACGGGATCGAATACACAGAAGAAAAGACCAACAAGGGGCTCCTGAAAAAGCAAAAGGGATACGAGGTGCTCCTCATTTTGGAGAAGGGTAGTGATTTTATATTTGGGAAAGATAGGGGTGTGAGCATGCCAGGAAGAAGGCACCACCAACACCCCAACTCCCCAAGCAGAACAGGCTTTCTCATGGCCTGGGCGGGACCAGTGACCCCAGGAGGGACCAGGAGACCCTCATTAAACAGCCAGGGCAATTTTTTTTTTTTTTTGAGACAGTCTTGCTCTGCCGCCCAGGCTGGAGTATAATGGCGCAATCTCAGCTCACTGCATCCTCCGCCTCCTAGGTTCAAGTGATTCTCTTGCCTCAGCCTCCCAAGTAGCTGGGATTACAGGCACATGGCACCATGCCCAGCTAATTTTTGTATTTTTAGTAGAAATGGGGTTTCGTCATGTTGGCCAGGCTGGTCTCGAACTCCTGACTTCAGGTGATCCACCTGTCTCAGCCTCCCAAAGTGCTGGGATTATAGGCGTGAGCCCCAAGGCGATTTCTGATCCCCAAAGACGAGGTGTAATATCACAGCCCCTCCTGGGCCATCGCTGATAAACCCACAGACTAGGAGAAGGGCATGAAACTGGAATGTGTCCATTTCAGAAAAAAGACCTGAGAGAATGAGAATGATAGGAAGGTGCAGGCTTCATACTGAATCCACGGAAAACCCTACATCGTGACTCAGAGCCCTAGGAAAGGATGATCACGTGGAGCCGACAAATGGCTTCTCAGAGCACAGGACGATGGGTTGGTTTTCTTTTCAATAAAGATATGAGTTGGAGGATCATGGAAAAACAATTCATTTAACGTATGAATATCTCAGCTGAGCACTTGGTGAAGCTCCTCATCTCTGTGTGGATACTGTGGGGAAAAAACGGGTGGCATTTTCCACGTTGGTGCATTTAACTGGGTTCAAAGCTGGTTATACAACTCTGATTGAATCCAAAGAATATTGACTTGTGCAGTGGATTTTTAAACTGTAGAGAGTGTGTGTGAGAGAGACAGAGAGAGAGAGAGACAGAGACACGTGAAGTATGCAGGAACCTCGTTTTTCTAAATGTCTGCCGCTCCCCATCTTGGATGATGATGCAGGAACCTCATTGTAAAAGGCACATTCCCAGGGCACGCTGATGGAATGGGCCAGGCTGCTCATCTGCACTTAACAGGCTCCCCAGGTGATTCTGCTCCTGGAGCCCAAGGACCACATCCTGAAAAACACTGAATTCTAGGGGTCAAGGGCGCCCTGGAAGGAGGTTTCTATCACAGTCCTCCAGGGGGTTCATCCTAGATCCTGTCTTGTTTAAAGAACAAAAGAACAAATGTAAGTGTGGACGTGGACGTGTACATTCATCTCCCCCGACCCCCACCCAAATGGGCATTTTGGATGAAAACTCAGGAGGCTGCTTAATCAGTCTTCAGACGGTCCCAAGTGGCGCGGGTGAGATGGAATATGATGGATGACACGAGTCAAGATTTAAATGATTTGTTCATGCTGGAATGTTGGACTAAAACCGACTAGATGAGATTTCACAGGGCTAGATTTAAAGTTCTGCTTTTGGTTAAAATGAAACAAAAATCAATACAGCACTATAGGAAGGAGGAGAGACTGGGCTTAATGGCAATTCTTGGGAAGAAATTCAGGGGCTGTTTGTAGACCACAAGATTGGTGTTGGGGGAGAGGGGAACCAGGGTGGGCGCAAGTTCAGGTCAGTGTCTCAGGGAGTGAAGGTCCTAAGGCATGAACCCCACTGCACTCAGAGCTGATGAACAAACTGGGGACTTGAAGTGACTCAGGCCACATTTAAGAGTGACATTAACCAATTAGACTTTCATCTAGAGGACGGTGATGGCCTGGGCAAGGTCTGGAGACCTTAGGCCAAAGAAGGACACCGGTCCCACTTGGAGAGCACAAGGTGAGAGTGTTGGGGGAAGTCACGTTCAGATGTCTGACTGGGGCACCGTGCAGAATTGGAAGCTTATTCCAGGCCATAAACAAAGATCCGGTGGGTGAGTGGCTTAAGGAGGCAGGCGTCAGCTCAGTAGAAGAAGGAACGTTCTATCAGCTGGGACTTCACAGTGGAAGAACAGACCGTCCCATGGGCGGCCTGGGGATGTTGGGAGAAAGGGCGGAGGATGTCGAAGGAGTCCACAATTCCTGGAGGTGTCAAGAGAGACCCAGGGTCAGCACTGGGTGTGATCTCAGCACACCTCAGCGATTCCCAGGCCCACCCATGTCAGAATTCCCCTGGGGGCTGGTGAAAGTGTAGGTACCTGGGCCCTCCCTAGACCTACTGTGTCAACATCCCTAGGGCTGGCTGCAGTCTCCTGCCTTTTGGAGTCATAGGACTGGAGGACAGTATTTTCCTATTACCTGAACAAAATGTCCTGTAGAGCCAGCCTGCCAGGGCCCTTAACCTTCACCTCCACACCCCCAGCCCCACCTGCCAGACTGTGAGATGTCATCCCCCACCCACGACAGCCCCCAGGAAAGAGTTCCTCAGCTAAAGTAAAAAACCTGCTCTCCATAAATGTTTATAGCAACCACATTCAGAATTATCAGAACTTGGAAGCAACGAAGATGTCTTATAATAGGTGAATGGATAAACTGTGGTCCATCCAGACAATGAAATATTCTTCAGCACTGAAAAAAAAATGCTTTATCAAGCCAGGAGAAGTCATGGAGGAATCTTAAATCCATATTACTAAGCGAAAGAAGCCAATCTGAAAATGCTCCACACTGTATCATTTCAACTCTGCGACATTCTGGAAAAGGCAAAACTGGAGAAAGTGAAAAGGTCAAAGGTCAAAGGTTAAGACCAGGCACAGTGGCTCATGCCTGTAATCCAAGCACTTTGGAAGGCCAAGGCGGGCAGATCACCTGAGGTCAGAAGTTCAAGACCAGCCTGGCCAACGATGTGAAATCCCATCCCTACTAATAATACAAAAATTAGTTAGGCATGGTGGCACGTGCCTGTAATCCCAGCTACTAGGGAGGCTGAGGCATGAGAATCACACCCAGGAGGTGGAGGTTGCAGTGAGCCAAGATCTTGCCATTGCACTCCAGCCTGGGCAACAGAGCGAAATTCCATCTCAAAAAAATAAAAATAAAGGGGTTAGAGGGGAGGGGATACTTAATAGACAGAGCACAGAGGATTTTTAGGGCAGTGAAACTACCCTGTATGATACGGTAATGGTTGACATGTCATTTTTTCTTTTTTCTTTTTTTTTTTTTTTAAATTTTTTGCAGAGATAGGGTCTCACTATGTTGTGCAGGCTGGTCTTCAGCTCCTGGGCTCAAGCGATCTACCCGCCACAGCCTCCCAAAGTGTTGGGATCACAGGCATGAGCCACTGCACCCAGCCAACGCATGTCATTATCCATATGTCAGACCTATAGAATGTGCAGCGCAGAGCGTGAGCTCTAGTGGAAGCTGTGGACTTTGGGTGGTGATGATGTGCCTGTCTAGGTTCATCAATTGTAATGGACATGCCACTCTGGTGCAGGATTTTAGAGTGGAGTAGGAGGCTGTGTGTGCGTGGGCCAGCGGATATATGAAAACTCTCTACTTTCCTCTTAATTTTGCTGTGAACTTAAACTGCTCTAAAAAAAAAAAAAAAAAAAAGAAAAAAAACAAGTTGTTTTTTTTTTTTTTGGAAACAGAGTCTAGCTCTGTCACCCACAAGGGAGTGCAGTGGCATGATCTTGGCTCACTGCAACCTCTACATTCTGGGTTCAAGCAGTTCTATGCCTCAGCCTCCTGAGTAGCTGGGATTACAGGCATGAGCCACCATGCCCAGCCCCAAGCTTATATTTTAAAATAAACACAAACATTCTCTGCGTGTCACCTCTAACCTCTGTTTGGGGTCTTGCTTGCAGCGCTGCCGTGGGCATTGGTTTCTATGGAAACAGCGAGACCAACGATGGGGTGTACCAGCTGATGTACTCCTTAGAGGATGCCAACCACACCTTCTCTGGGATCGATGCTCTGGTAAGGCTCCCGGGCAGCTGGCTGGGCACAGGCACAGCCCACAAGGCCAGTGTGGTCAGAGCAAGGGCCCCATCAGATCCCAGTGACTTAGCTGCATGTGAAGGGCCTGTGTGCTGCCTGAGGGCTGGACCCCCGTCTGCGCTGCAGCTGCCTCTGTTGGGGCAAATGGGCAATTGTGCTTCCCAAGCCTGGAGGGGTGGAAGGGATGGGGGGAGGACCAAAGGAGGCAGCTGTGGGTTCAAACCCCATTCATTTTCCGGAAAGCTGAACTCCTTCCAATTGGTCAAAGGAGACTGCGAACGTGGAAAGTCAGCCCCACTGCATTTTTTGGTGTTCATTTTAAGTGCTACATACAGAGTGTTTCGGGGTCCAGGAGATGTCAAGAAGAAAAAACCTCTTCAGAAACAACTGAGGGCTGGGTGTGGTGGCTCACTCTTGTAAGCCCAGCACTTTGGGAGGGAGGCTGACACATGTGGAGCTCAGGAGTTCGAGACCAGCCTGGGCAACATGGCAAAACCCTGTCTGTACCAAAAATACTAAAATTAGCTGGTCATGGCGTGGTCCCAGCTACTCGGGAGGCTGAGGCAGGAGGATCACTTGAGCCTGGGAGGCAAAGGTTGCAGTGAGCCAAGATCATGCCACCACACTCCCAGCCTGGGAGACAGAGCGTGACTCCATCTCAAAAATTAAAAAAAATTAAAAAAAAAAACAAAACAATTGAAGAGTCCCATGGGGTGGGGTGATGGAAACCTGCCGCAGGTCCTCGGGGCTCTGGCTTCCGGACTTCGACTCCAGGTGGGGGCTCACAGTGAAGGGTGTGCTGGCCTGCCCAGAGGAGGACTCATAGGGGAAGGGAAAGGCTCCTCTGCCAAGCCAGGGCTGGATTTTGTGGCAGAGACTGCTTGACACACATGGGCCTTTTGCTGGGGCTGCCACCCCTCTGCTGGGGACCTGGCCCAGGGAGGAGCATGATGAGGGTGGACAGCTGAGGACTCGGTTCCCTGAAAACTGCCTCTGCCTTTTCCACCCCAGCTGCCTGGATCTGGAGTTTTCCCAGCCCACACGTGTCATTCTCACTCTAAGCACCAGGCTTTTTCAGATGCTTATCCAAGCAGCCTCTGCCACAAAATCAAGCCCCAGCAGGAGAATTTGGCCATTGCCCTGGCATCCTCTGAAAGAGGATTGGACCCCATTTGCCACCCTCCTGCTCCCTTAAGCTCCTCTAAGGCTTTAATCCCTCTGTCAACAAGGGGGGTCACCTTAAAGAGACAGCTGTGCTGCTCCTCCGTGCCCAAGTCCATCGTGGGAGGAGGCCCTGACCTCCAGAAAGGGGCTGAGGATGGGTACCAGACCAGGGGCCCTGGTCTCTGCAGAGTTCATTCTGCCGCCAATGTCCTCCAGGACCCATCCCCATAGCCTGAGCGCTGATGCCCGGTGTGTGGATGCTGGGCTGGAACAGCCTTGTGGGGTGAGTTGAGGTGGCTGGGATGCAGGAGTTGAGCAACAGCCAGCTCAGGGCTGGGAAGCAGAGGTGTGGCCTGGCCTGGCTGGGGAAAGCTCTCCCTCTGGGCACCCGCCCTTGTCCCGGGCCCTGGTGGGGAAGGACCCCATAGTCACGGCCCTCTAGGCTCTCTCTGCCCCTCCCTGCTGTCCTGCTGCCTGCCTCCTCTTCACCCACCAGCACCGGGATCGCTGGAGGAGGAACCCATCCCTGAAAGGAAAACCCCCTGCCCTGCCCTGCCCAGGAAGGCCCCAAGGCCATGACCTTCCCTGATGTAGAGAAACTCCCAGAACTCCCTTATGGGAAAACTTGAAGTCCTTCTCCCCCAGGATGAGAGCTGTATGGGGAGGTGAGCTGGGAACAGGCCCCCAGGCTGGGTCCTTCCACCCCACAGCCTGACAGTGCTCCAGGGCCAGGTTTGGACATTGCATCCCACTCTTCAAAATCCCCCATGTTCCCAAAGGGAAGGGTTCTGTATTCCTGGAGATCAGCCCCTCGACCTCTCCATTATTACTGAGAAGTGAGACCAGGAGCCCCCGGGCTTCACACTGGTCCAGCCAGCCCATAGCCACCTCCAGCCTGCGGGCAGCTGCCTCCCCTCTGGCGTGAGCCTGGAGGGCCCAGGTGTGGCTGCTGCCTGCAGGTGGAAAGGCAGCACCTGGGCCCTTGCTGGGACCTGTGGGGCTGGTTTGGGCCTCGGGGTGGACACTCAGCACACTAGTCCTCAGGGGTCCAGGGGAGGCAGCAGACCTTAGAAGACTTCCCAGACCCAAAGGGGGAAGTCCAGACATCAGATAAATGACATTAGTGAGATAATGTCAGTGAAAGTGCTGGTAAACTATAAAGTACCCTCAACTGGTGTGACTGTGATTATGAGTGCCCTTATCGTCAGCACTGTAATCACGGTGGGGTCAATGGGAGGCTGGGGTCTGGGACGCTGTGAGCGGCAGAGGCAGGTGGAGGACTCGTGAGCAGGTCAGGCAGGACCTGGACCTCGGCCTTGCTAGAGCCTAGATCATGCAGCTGAGTGGCTAGTAAGAGGCCCTCTGGGGTCACACCAACAGAGTGGGTGGGCCCTGCTCCCAAGTCCTTCCGTCCTGGACTGGAAGCCCCACACCTGTCCGTTTCCACCTAGAGGGACGCCTGTGCCTTAGAGGCGGTGGCTCAGGGCTCAGCGATCAGGCAGTCCTGGGAGGGCTGCATGCCCCAGTCTAGGGGAGTAGAGAGGAGTTGTTTTGGGACACCAAAACTTCCTGCACCTGGTGGCCAGCATGGCCCTTCCAGGCTTTCTCACATGAGCCTGCAGCAGGCTGGTGGGCAGCACTCAGGTGAAGAAACTGAGGCACAGGGAGGTTGCATTGCTGCCCCAAAGTTGAAAATGTGTGTGTTTCAGAGCAGAAACCAGAATCCAGGCCTCCTGGTCTTAGCCCCTTACCTCCCCTGACCTGGCCCAGACACCCTTTCAGATAACCTCACTGAGCGCCGCAGCACCCTCCCTCCCAGAGGTTTTCATATTTGGGTTTGCATCAGAATCACCTGGAAGGCTCAGTAAACATAGACTGCAGGGCCCCACCCTTGGAGGTTCTGATTCAGCGGGTCTGGGGCAGGGCTGAGAACTTGCTTTGGTGAGTGAGTTCCCAGGGGGTGCATCTTATGCTGCTGGTCCCCGACCGCACTGCTCTGTGCTCTAGACCATGATCTCCACCACCTGGTGGGGGGAGCTTGTCCCTAACTCTGCCCAGCCTGGGAAGCTGACCTGTCCCTCCCATGAGAGAGCCTGATTCCATCTCTGGGTCGTCCCACCTGTCCTTGGAGGGCGTGCTAGGTACTGAACCTTTAAGGAATTGGGGATGATGTGGAGAAGTGGGGAACTGTAAGTAGGTCGCTGCTGTCATTCTTATTTTAAAAAGCAAAAACATTTTTTTTTTTTGTTTTTTGAGGCAGATTTTGTCACCCAGGCTAGAGTGCAATGGTGGTCTCAGCTCACTGCAACCCCTGCCTCCTGGGTTCAAGCAATTCTCCCACCTCAGCCTCCCAAGTAGCTGGGATTACAGGCACATGCTACCACACCCGGCTAATTTTTGTATTTGTAGTAGAGATGAGGTTTCACTATGTTGGCCGGGCTGCTCTTGAACTCCTGACCTCGTGATCTGCCTGCCTTGGCCTCCAAAAGTGCTGGGATTACAGGCATGAGCCACAATTGCCCGGCCTCTCTTTTTTTTTTTTTTTTTTTTTTTAATTTTGGGACCTTTTGAGCCTAGGAGTTCAAGAACAGCCTGGGCAGCATAGCGAGACCGTATCTCAAAAAACAATTTTTTAGGGCCGGGCACGGTGGCTCAAGCCTGTAATCCCAGCACTTTGGGAGGCCAAGGCGGGTGGATCACGAGGTCAAGAGATCGAGACCATCCTGGTCAACATGGTGAAACCCCGTCTCTACTAACAATACAAAAAATTAGCTGGGCATGGTGGTGCATGCCTGTAATCCCAGCTACTCAGGAGGCTGAGGCAGGAGAATTGCCTGAACCCAGGAGGCGGAGGTTGCGGTGAGCCGAGATCGCGCCATTGCACTCCAGCCTGGGTAACAAGAGCGAAACTCCGTCTCAAAAAAAACAAAAAAACAATTTTTTAGTTTGTTTCCTGTGGGAAGATATCAGGAAAAAAGAGAAGTCATGACAAATGACTGCCTTCTTTTTTTTTTTTTTTTTCCTAAGGAGGAGTTTAAGAAATAGAGAAGTTAAAAATGTAGAACTATGAAGGAGAAAACAAGTGACCTTACAGAAAAAGGTTTACAGATAATTTTTAACAGCCCTTTGCTCTGAAGTTTGTTTGCTATAATATAGAAATATGGAAATGTCACCTGTTACTGGGGTTTGTTCATAATGGCACCGTTATTTGGTAATAGTGCTACTTGTATCAATGGTTCCAAAGTGGTTGTACATTTATCTTATTCAATTGAACAGAAGAGCATACGAGGATGGCATTTAGTTACTGAATGTACTTGTAGGTGGTTCGGGGTCTTTTCCCCTGTGCTACAAGCTGTCAGATCTGTATATGAAAGAGTGTCTCTGTACTCCGACATCTCTTAGTCCTCAACCAGCTCATAAGAACCGAGCATAAGCCAGAAAACGGAACAAGCCGCTGACACTGAAAAAATAAAACAAAGTGAAACAAAGAGAGCCATTCTCTTTTCTGGAACCAGGAACTCCCAGCGTAGCGCAGATGTAAAAGGCCACACAGCTGACGTGAAGTCCCCATAACAGAGAGAACGCCGTTGGCCTCCGGGAGTGGAATCCAGTCAGCCTCGCTGAGTTCTCACCATGGGAAGTTTCTGCCTCTTCTGTGTCGTTTTTATCTCCCAGACCCGTGGGAGCTGAAGGCTGCTGAATGTGGATTAGGGCGCACTGCCCCGCTCCCGGCCCGTTGTGCTTCTTGGTTTAACGTGACGGTTTCAGAACAACAAAGCCCTTTCTTCCCTCGCTGCCAGCAACAGCGTGCTTGGGGCTGCCAAGCTGCACCCCGGGGCCCCACAGGCACGCTGGATCTGGGCTGTTGTAAAGCTCCACTGACCAGTACACGCCCTGCCTGTGCTCTTCAAAAGCCAGCAAGGGTCGACCATTTGGACCATTAGAAATGGATGGACATGGCCGGGTGTGGTGGTTCATGCCTGTAATCCCAGCACTTTGGGAGGCCGAGGTGGGCAGATCATTTGAGGTCAGAAGTTCAAGACCAGCCTGGCCAACATGGTGAAACCTGTCTCTACTAAAAATACAAAAATTAGCCAGATGTGGTAGTGGGCATCTGTAGTCCCAGCTACTCAGGGGGCTGAGGCAGGAGAATTGCTTGAACCCAGGAGGCCGAGGTTTTAGTGAGCTGAGATGGCACCACTGCACTCCAGCCCAAGCGACAGAGTGGGACTCTGTCCCTACCCCACCCCGACAAAAAAAAGAAAGAAATGGATGGCCAGGCTACTCTGGCACACTGCCTGTAAGGGGCAGTACCTAAAAAAGAAAGAAAGAATTTTTTTAACTGGATGGACAGGCCTCGACTTTCTATTTCTGTCTTTGCATTGGCAGATGTTTCCTTCAAGGTCCACTCAACCCCAGGTTCTAAGGGCTCAGCCAAGGGACAGGAGCCTGTCTGCCCACCCAGCAGGACACATGTCCAGGGGAGGACATGAATACACGGAGAAGGCGCCAGTTTCCTCCTCCTGCCTCATGTCCAGGCTCGTCAGAGACAGGATCGTGACTGTTTTTGTTTTTGCAAAGTCCCATTGTCCTACCTTCACTCAGCGTTCAGGACGTGGTGCCCGGCCGCTAGTGCCACAACAAAGCCTTTCTGTTACAGAACAGCCATCCTCTTGTGGGGGTACAAGGTCAAGGTAGCAACATAGCGTCCATTTCTCTAAAAGAGAATGTGTAAGCCCAAGTGTTGAAAGTTTTAAGAGAATCTTCAAAGAATAGTGGATTATTTGGTTGGTTTCTTCATCTGGGTGTCCTTCTCTGTCTATAGTAAGATGTGGCGATGAATGATTTGTTCATTCCAGCCCTTTACAGCAGGGGTCGTGTGGTGGGCACACAGGATAGCCTCCTTAATAGACAGCAACAGAGGCTGCAGAGGGCAGGGATGTGCCCACGCTCCCAGCGCCAGAGGCTGGACCTGGCCTCAGCCTCCAACACACAGTGGTGTGCTCCTCTGGCACCAGCATTCCCTCTCTTGGCGCCTGGTTAAGGCCACGTCAGGGCCTGTCCCCTGGTTTGAGGGACATGAGGGCTGGGTGGGTAGCGGGGCCTCTGTCTTCTTCCTCTAGGGCCATAGCTCATGAGATCTTCAGAGCTGGGGCAGCATGGGGTGTTCATTCAAGCTCAAGCAGGCCAAGCCACCTTTTTTTATCTTTTCTGAGACAGTGTCACTCTTGTCATCCAGGCTGGAGTGTAATGGTGCGATCTTGGCTCACTGCAGACACTTGTCCCAGCTGCAAGCGATTGTCTTGCCTCAGCCTCCCAGGTAGCCAGGATTATAGGTCATGCCACCACAGCTGCCTAATGTTTTATTTATTGATTTATTTATTTTAGAGACAGGGTCTTACTATGTTGCCCAGACTGGTCTCAAACTCCTGGGCTCAAGCAATCTGCCTGCCTCGGCCTCCCAAAGTGCTGAGATTACAGGCGTGAGCCACCACGCCTGGCCAGGCCATCTTCTGCTGCCTGCAGAGACCTCTTCCAGGATGAGAATTAGAAGCTTTACCTCCCGGGCGTTTGCCCCCCGCTCCTCCCTAGGTTTCCAGAACTACCGAGAAGATGAAGGTGGACCTAGAGCAGCATCTGGGCCGGCTCAGTGAGATCCTTGCCGCCCGGGGCGATTACATGCAGACCCTGAAGTTCATACAGCAGATGGCAGGCAGCGTGGTTGCTCAGCTTTCAGGACTGCCCATGTGGAGGGAGGTCACCATGGAGCTGGCCCAGCTGTCCGAGCAGACTGGCTACGTGGAGTACTACAGGTGAGGGGCCGGTGGGAGGCGGGGGCGGGGGGCAGCAGTGCGACATCAGCGTCATTCATCCAAAACTGCATGTTGAGCTCCAGGTGGAGATGGAGTCTCGCTCTGTCACCCAGGCTGGAGTGAAGAGGTGCGATCTCAGCTCACTGCAACCTCTGCCTCCCGGGTTCAAGTGATTCTTCCTCCTCAGCCTCCCAAGTAGCTGGGACTACAGGCGTGTGCCACCACGCCCAGCTAATTTTTGTATTTTTAGTAAAGACGGAGTTTCACCACGTTGGCCAGGCTGGTCTTGAGCTCCTGGCCTCAAGTGATCCACCCGCCTCATCCTCCCAAAGTGCTGGGATTACAGGTGTGAGCCACCACGCCCAACTCACCAGAATGTCTTGATAAGCCATTGGCTGAAATCGGAAGAACACGGGAGCTTGCGGGGGCCACGTGGTGAGTATGCAGGATAGCCTCCTTAACAGACAGGCAGCAGAGGCTACAGAGGGCAGGGATGTGCCCAAGCTCCCCACGCCAAAGGCTGGACCTGGCCTCGGCCTCCAGCACACAGTAGGGTGCTTCTCTGGGACCAGCATTCTTCGTGGCTGGTGCTGGGTGAAATGCCACAAGCTTTATAGGTTCCTCGCCTACCAGATTTATGGGGCAAGATTTCTTGTACCACAGACTCAGCCATGGGTACAGGGGGTTGGGGAGATGCTGGCCTCTTTGCCTACATAGAGTGCTCAGCCAAGGGTGCTAAGAAGTTTCCATCAGGGGAGGGTCTGACCTACAAGTCACTGTGCTCCTGGGGTCTGGGCCTAGCATGGAGGAGGCACAGGGAGGAATGAGGTCATGCCCCCAGGCTCACTTTTTTTTTTTTTAAGACAGTATCTCACTCTGTCGCCCAGGCTGGAGTGCAGTGGTGTGATCATGGCTCACTACTTTCCCACCTCAGCCCCCTGAGTAGCTGGGACTGCAGACACACAACTACGCCTGGCTACTTTTAAAAAATTGTTTTAGAAACAGGGGGCTGGCTTTGTTGGCCAGGCTGGTCTCAGACTCCTGGCCTTAAACAGTCCTCCCACCTCGGCCTCCCAAAGTGCCGGGATTACAGGCGTGAGCCACCGTGCCCAGACCAGCCTCAGAGGGACACCAGCCTCACTTGGGTGTATAAACTCATACCTGCGTCATCTGACCTCTGGGGCTTTGTTTGCCTCTCCCCTGCCTCCGCATTCACCAAACCCCAGCCCAGGCACAGGCACAGGCACTGGACGCAGTCGGCGGAGCAGGGACCTGCTGCCCCTCTCCAGGTGCTAGGTCCAGTGAAGGTTGCTCTAGGGAGAGCCCGGGAAGGAGGCAGCAGCCCCGGCCTTTGGAGGGAGCTCCCGGCTGAATAGCATCGTGGGCTCATGCCCCCAGGGCCCGGGCCTAGCGTGGAGGAGGCACTCGGGCAGGGGATGAATGAGTCATGAGGAGCGAGATCAGCTCTTTGGATCCTCCCCGCTCCCTCCATTTGATGGCTTCTCTTCAAGCCATTGATGAAAGTCAGAGCCCTTAGCTTAAGGTTGCACAAGTTACTCCTGTTTTCTGGATTTGTGTCCTCTTGTGTCATAAAGCCCCACCCCAGGAGGTCACTGCTGGGCTGAGTCCAGGGGCCTCTCCCCTTCCCAAAAATAGGAGATGGCAGTCCCTGAGCAGAGGGAGCTCATGAAGTCCCCAGTTCTGACGGTCCTCCCCACACCTTGCCTCCCCAGCCCATCCATCGCCTGCTTCTCCGCCATGTCCTGGATGCTCTGGATTGAGGGGAGCTTAGTCCCACTCCCTAGAAGGTGGATGCTCATGGGCAAAAGTGCCTTCCTCCCAAGGGACAGAAGGAAACTGCCAGTTCTCAGGATGGCCTGTGACCTCCTGTGGCCCCAAAACAGTGGTATCCGATAAGTCTTCTGACACGTGGGCCATTCATTGCCTGAGCCTTTGGAATCTTATGTCAGGCAGGGGCAGTGGGTACAAAGGTGTCCATTCTGACCTTGCTCTTCTCTCTGAGCACACCTAGCAGAGCACTGTGTACATTTAAGGGCCTCGTGTGGGCATTTTGATAACGGCACTCAGGGAATAAGTTGGAATTTACATGTCAAAGGCGGCTTATTGTTAAGGCGATTTTATTAAAATAGTGGAAGGATGGTGCCAACTGCACGTCAGCTGTTTCAGCACGGGTGATTGACAGGATCCCCTGTGAGCCCATCCCCCGCTCCCCACTCCTGATTGAGGTTGAGGCAGAAGATGTTTGGCTGTGTGCGGTGGCTCACGCGTGTAATACCAGCCTGGGCAACATTGAGAAACTCTGTCTTTATTAAAAATACAAAAATTAGCTGGGCATGGTGGCGTGCGCCTGTAGTCCCAGCTACTCAGGAGGTTGAGGCAGGAGAATTGCTTGAACCCAGGAGGCAGAGGCTGCGGTGAGCCAAGATCGCACCATTGCACTCCAGCCTGGGTACCAAGAGCGAAACTCCGTCTCAAAAAAAAAAAAAAGAAAAAATGCAAAAATTAGCTGGTGTGATGTTTCATGCCTTATAGTCCCAGCCATTCTGGAGGCTGAGGCAGGAGAATCGCTTGAACCCCGGAGGCAGAGGCTGCAAGGAGCTGAGATTGCACCACTGCACTCCAGCTAGGACAACAGAGTGAGACTCTGTCTCAAAAAAAAAAACCCAGCAGAGGTCTAGTCCAAGGTTGGCACCTATGGCTCCTGAGTGTCAGTGATGTTCTGCCCCTTCCCTCGTCTCTGCTTCCATCTGCGGCTACTCAGCTGCTCTGGAACAAAAGCCCTCCCCAGAAGAGCCCCCGTCTTTGCCTTTGGGATAGTCCTTAAGCATAGCCGTGCAGCAAAGCAAATATTTCCCAGCACTTTTATGCAAGGCCAGGCGAAGTATTGGAGGAGTTAAACCGCCAAGGGGCTCCTCTCTTTGGGAGGCTACAGCTGGGGGAGGAGGGAGCCGGGGCGGGAGTGGCCCTGGCAGGCAGAGCCGAGTTCTGGGTTAGGAATACATCCCCTAGTCCTTGCCCGGCTCCTCTGGGAAAACACATCCGCCTAGAAGAGCTGTTTCCAGGAACCCCTGACAACATGAGGCGCGGAGGCAGGGAAGATGCATTCAGTGAATCACAGCTGCAGAGGGTGGGTTAGAGGCACCCCTAACTGGATTTGCTGCTGCTCTGCAGAGCAGAGGCAAGTGGTGAGAAGAAATCTTTAAGTGTGAAACATGAAGTGAGTGTTTTGAGAGGTGCCCTGTGGCTGGCTGTGTCCCTTGCAGCAAGCTTGATGTAGGCAATGTGGAAATCCTGGGTCAGGCTCTCCCCACCATGGCCGTGGTTTTCCAATCTATAGAATGGGATCCTGGCTGGGCCTCGTGGCTCACGCCTATGATCCCAGCACATTGGGAGGCTGAGGCAGGAGGATCTCTTGAGTCCAGGACTTTGAGACCAGCCTGGGTAACATAGAGAGACCCAGTCTTTAGAGAGAAAGAGAGAGAGAGAGAGAGTGTGTGTGTGTTCTCTTGAGTCCAGGAGTTTGAGACCAGCCTGAGTAACATAGACCCAGTCTTTATAGACAGTGTGTGTGTGTGTGTGTGTGTGTGTGTGTGTGTGTGTGTGTAAAAATTAGAATATGACCCAAACACTAGATGGTTTGCAAGGTTCCTTCCAGCTCTGAGCTGCGTCTAAGGAAACTGACTTCTTGGTGGCAGCAGGCTCTGCCCACTCCCCAAAGCCCCTGGCTCCATTCCTGGGAACCCAGAGGCCTAGTGTGAGCTGCCCACTGCTCTGTGCAGGGACAAGGACTTTGGTTATCCGCTTCTGTTGGCAGTGAGCCTCCATTTGGGGAATCAGAAAGCACCACCCTTGGCTGCCGGGGGCCTTCAGCTTGCTCTCTCCCCTCGCCCCCTCGGAGCCTCTTTGCCACTTTCCACCAACTCCAGGGCACTCCCTGCCCACGCTGCAAACTCCTTCTTCCCCTTTGTGGTGTCAGTGAAGCAGAGGCCATTGCTGGAGAGGAGGGGTCAGCAAACTTTACTTGGCTCTTGCATCAAGAGAAGTTAGATCCAAATATGTCCCTCTCTGGAGGCTGAGAAGCACCTGTCTCCATGCCCTTCTTCCCCTGTCCACTCTCCCGCTGGTGCCCAGCATGGGGCAGAGGGCATGGCCGCCAGGGGAGACCACCGCTGCCTTGTGAGGACCACCTTGGGGACCAGCGTGGAAGGGAAAGGAATGGCGGCACTGTGTTTGGGGCCTTCTCGGTGCCCTTGGGCTTCGGGTACTTGGATTCTCCAGCCTGTCCCCTGGAGAAGCAGCATGTTAGGGTTATAGGAAAGCAAGCCCATAGACCCCCTCCCCTGCTAAGCCAAGCTTATAACAAAACAGCTTTCGGCCTTGTAAGCAGGGCACCTAGGTTCCACGATGTGGTCACACCCGGTTCTCAAACCCAAGATGTTAATCCAATTAAGCAGAATGTCAGCCCCTAAAAACCAAAATGTGGTTTTTCTTAAAACAGCACCCGACTACCTGCAAACCCCCTATATAACCCCCATAGTCTGTAAGCCAGGCCGCTGCCTTCACTGCCTGTGGTGAGCCCGCCTGGCAGGTTAAAATAAACTTGCTGAACCTGACCCTGGGGCTGCCTCTCCATCCTTTCTGTCAGCCTGACACAGGAGGGCAGGGCCTTTGAAGTCCCTGGCTGCCTTGCCCCATCAACCTCTGTATTTAGCATGGGCTTACTCCTTACTCTGGCCCTGTGAGATGAGGGATTCCAGCTCCCTTTACAGACATGGAAACCAAGGTCCCAAGGGGTGAAGTGGCTTACCAAGCCTCCCCGCTGGGGTGTGACTGCCTTTCCCCATCAGCCCAGCCTCGGGGGCAAAGAGGCCAGAGGAAGGAGGGGCTTAGAGGGGTTTGGAGGGCTGCGGGGCTGTAAGTACCCTGACTCAGCCTCCCAGGTTCCACACTGAGCTCTCTGATGGTCAGAAATAAGCCTACTCACCTGGGTATCCCTGCTGCCAAACTCAGTGCCTAGCAAATGTTTAAAATGAACCTACAAGTCTTCTGTTGTTGTTGTTTTTGGGATGGAGTCTCACTCTTTTCACCCAGGCTGGAGTGCAGTGGTGTGATCTCAGCTCACTGCAACCTCCTCATCCCAGATTCAAGCAATTCCCCTGCCTCAGCCTCCTGAGTAGCTGGGATTACAGGCGTGCGCCACCACACCTGGCTAACTTTTTTTTATTTTTTGTAGAGTTGGGGTTTCACCATATTGGCCAGGCTGGTCTCGAACTCCTGATCTCAGGTGATCCTCCTGCCTTAGCCTCCCAAAGTGCTGGGATTATAGGCGAGAGTCACTGTGTCCAGCCTGAACCCAAAAGTCTTAAGTTATGGATCCCATGCAGCGAGGGGGCAAGATGGGAGGCCTTGAGGAGCCAGGCTGTGTTTCTCAGAGAAGCAGGCACCTTAGGGGCTGTCTTACATCTGCGGCTACAAACATGAGAACTTGGCTGGTCTGATGCTGTCTGAGAGTTCTAGAGGCAAAGGGAGGTAGGGTTCTAGGAGATGCCTGCCGGGAGGCTGCAGAAAGACACTTCAAAGCTGTGCTGTCCGGGGTGGCAGCCCCGCCACATGTGGCTATCTAATTAAAATTATTAAGTGAAGTTTAGAATATATTTCTTCAGTTGCACAAGCCATATTTCAATTCTCAGTAACCACCTGTGGGTAGTGGCGAAGAGGGTGGACAGCAAGGATTTAGTCCTTCACTGAGGAAAGTTCTAGTGCACCATGCTGGTTTTGACACTCAGCCCGGAGGTGGAGGCAGGAGTGGGAAGTGACAACTTTGTCCAGGCAGCAGTGAGGGTGCAGCCCCGGAGCCTTCAGCCTGTGCATGCAGGGTGCAGGCTGGCTCTGGGCAATGTGTCGCAGTGAAGCGTCCAGTGGCCCCGGGGCTGCCATGCAGGCCTCCCAGGTGGGCAGCAGGTGAGGAGTTCTGCCCTGCTGCCCCTGACTGGCCCTGGCCCTCTACCCAGGTGGCTCTCCTACCTCCTGCTGTTTATCCTGGACCTGGTCATCTGCCTCATGGCTTGCCTGGGACTGGCCAAGCGCTCCAAGTGTCTCCTGGCCTCGTGAGTATTCCTACCCATGGACCTGCGACAAAGAGCTGGGCGAGATGCCATCATCAGAGAGAGACAAGGGCCTGGCCAGCTCGAATGCAGGGACAACAGCCAGGCTGCCTGAGGCCACCTTCTGCCCTATCCTCAGCACTCAGCAGAGGCGGGAGACAGCAGCCACCAGCTCACCATCTGGTCACCAAATGAGCAAGCATTAGGCTTTCCTTCTTCTCTGGGCCTGACTCTACTGAGCAGCTGAGAAACGTGGGCCCACGCATGAGAGCCTCTGGCCGTCTTAGCCAACGTGGCCCCCTTGGCCTGTGCTCTTATGCCTGGGTCTCTTTATCCCTAAGGACCTGGGCTCCATGGTTCTTCCCTAGTGGTTAGCAGAGCCCACGTCAGGGCAGGGACTGAGGCTGCCTTTGGATCCACTGCAAGGGCTTGGGGGCCAAAGTGGGCGGGAAGAAGACTGGGAGGAAGGGGACCCCCACCTGCCAATCTTGTCACCTGCCTGTCTCCTAGGATGCTGTGCTGCGGGGCGCTGAGCCTGCTCCTCAGCTGGGCGTCGCTGGCTGCTGATGCCGCTGCAGCAGTGGTGAGTTGGGGGAGGGTTGGGGGTGGGTAGTGGGTGGTCTGCCAGGATACTCTAGGATGTGTCCTGCCTAGAGCCTCCAAGCAGGGCCAGCTTCCGGTCCCAGCTCCTAACCTAGAATCCCAGAATCTCAGAACCAAAGGGGCTTGTGTCATCTGAACCGGCCCCTCTTGTTACAGATGGGGAAACAGGCCCAGAGAAAGGAAGAGGCCTGCCCAGGGGCAGAGCCAGGATGAGACGTCCATGCTTCCCATTCAAAGAGATGCTCCAGCCACCCAGGCATGCTTACGCTTAGGCGCACCTGGGTGACCAGGGGCTTCTCTCTGGGTGTGAAGAACTGACCGGGTCTCATGAGGATGGGTAGAGGTCTGAGTCTCAGACCAGGGAAGTCCTCCCCCATCAGAAGCTGCTGCTTTGCCAGCTCCCCAGGCCCTGGCACTGTAGAAGGTGGCGTTTGACTTGCCTTTCGTCATAATGCCCCGGGACTCCCAGGGTTGAAGCACACGTGCTGTATGTTTCTGGAAGTGGTGCCTCAAAATGGTTTAAAAAAGGAAAAGGTGGGGGCTTCCTATGTGGGTACACATGGTCGTTAATGGACCTAAGGCTGGCAGTAAGCCGTGTGCATGAGGCTGTTCATTCGCTCAGCTGACATTGTTTGCTGGGTGGCACTCGATGGTACAAGATGCCTGGGGTGTGGAAGCCAAGAGGACGTGATGTTTGCTGTTGACAGAGCTCCAGCCTTTGGAAGCAAGACTTGTGGGCAGATCACTGCAACTTCAGGCTTCAATACAGGGGAGGTGTGCTGTGTGTGTGTGTGTGTCTTTCTGTCTGTGTGTCTGTGTGCATCTGTGTTCATGCACACATGTAATAGAAAAAAACACAATTTACCAGGGGAATTCAAGGAACTCCTCTCTGATTCAAGGGCCATAGACTAACGCCCAGGACATGCAATCTGCCCTGCCTTTAGCGACCTGGGGCTTGATAGGATAAGATGGGAGTGGCTTGTACCAGAAGCTCCCTAACCAAACTCACGCCTTGCCCAGCGACTTGGGGGCTGGCCACCAGCTCTGGTCGTGGACACAGTCCCCTCAGGGACTCTGGCACTTCCTGACTTAGCACCTTAGGCAGAGGCGTGTGCAGAAGGGAGAAGAGGGGGTGTCTCCTGTCTTTGCTCCCCGCCACCCCAGTGCAGTGACCACAGGCCAAGGACTGGTAGAGAAAAGGCCCAGGTCATGTTTGAAAGCTTGAGAAGCTGGGACAGCTGTAAGCAGTGCCACTGCTGGCCAGGGGGACGTGCGCCGCTGACCCACTGCCCAGCCTGCAGCCTCCTCTGGGACTAGGGACGCACACAAGGAAGCCGTGGGGAGTGCAGGACAAGCTCCTCCGGGGCACAGTCCCGCTTTCTGGGCAGCCTCTGCCTCCTGGAGGTAGTGGTGGCTTCCAGCTTCCACCGTGAGCCACCCTGTGATAACCGCCCCTCCCAGTGGGGGCTCCTCCCTCTCACCGGGCTTCGGTGTTCACGAAAACCAGAGGCCATATAATTTCCCAGCCAGGCGCCCTGGAATGCGGGGAGCTGGGGAGAAAGGCCATTTCCCTAATTCCTCTAGTCAGGGCCTTGTGTACAAGAGGGGGAGCGGGCGGTGGAGCTGAATGGGCCTTTGATGGGGCTGGAGATGCTGCTGCATTTTAATAGGAAGCCGGGTGAGGAGGAGCCAGGGGGCGGGGAGGGCAGCCGGCTGTCCCGGGGTTATTGTGGGGAGCTTTTGTGTGGCCTCCCAATGCCACCCTGCTCTCTGAGGCCTGTTTTGACAGCCCTAGGGCCAGAGGACTGACAAGCCCTACCCTCACCCCCCTCCCACCCCTCCCTGTCCCTAGAAAGGACTCCATGAGGACAGAGCACTGCCCGGAGATCTGCTCTGGGTAAGGCAGGGAGAGGAGGGTGGACAGGACTTGACAGCTGAGCTCCGAGCTTCCAGGCTCTGCGGCCACCCCTGTGTCAGCACTGCCAGCCAGGAGGTGCCTGGGGTGAGGGGCTAGAGCAGCCAGAGATGGTGGGAAGCCCTAGAAGAAGGAAGGGGGAGAAAATGGGTTCAGCTGTGAGGGGGAGGCAAGGGCTGTCATGAGTGCTTTGGCCACCGAGCACGGGACAGAGAGTTCCGGGGGACCGCTCCAGCCAAGGGGCAGCCAGGCCTTCCTGAGTCAGAGGGTAGGAGTGTGGCCTCTGGAGCCACCCTGCCCAGGCCCACATCCTCCCTTCACCCCTTCTCAGCAGTGGAACCCCGGGAAGGTTACTGGGGCTCTCTGTGCCTCAGTTTCCTCCTAGGTGAGTAGGGAAGATAACAAGACTTACCTCAAAGGGCGGTTGGTAGGAAAAGGGGAGTGGGTTAATCCTGGGCAGCACACAGAAAATGTCCAGTAAACAGTGGCCACCACTGGCTTCCTGTATATTCAGCATCATCATGGTAGGGTCACAGGGGCTGCTTCAGGTCCTCACCTCTGTTCTCAGGAGCTGCCTGCAGGCTCAGCCATCACCTGGGCTGGGTACCGGGCAGCCTCTCCCACCTGCCCCACTGTGCTCAGTGCTTCCTTCCTGTCCCCTCCTGTCATCTTCATCACCGTGGCTTGAGTGATGCACACGTGCGTTGTTTTCACGCTGCTGATAAAGACATACCTAAGACTGCACAATTTACAAAAGAAAGAGCTTTAATAGGACTTCCAGTTCCACATGGCTGGGGCAGCCTCACCATCCTGGCAGAAGACAAGGAGGAGCAAGTCACGTCTTACATGGATGGCAGCAGGCAAAGAGAGAACTTGTGCAGAGAAACTCCCATTTTAAAAACTGCCAGATCTGCCAGGCACAGTGGCTCGCACCTGTCATCTGAGCACTTTGGGAGGGCCCAGCGGGGTGGATCATCTGAGGTCAGGAGGTCAACACCAGCCTGACCAGTATGAGGGAACCTCATCTCTACTAAAAATACAAAATTAGCCAGGCATTGTGGGGCATGCCTGCAATCTCAGCTACTCAGGAGGTGGAGGTTGCCGTGAGCCGAGATCGCACCACTGCACTCCAGCCTGGGCAACAGAGTGAGACTCTGTCTCAAAAAAAAAACCCATCAGAGCTTGTGAGACTTACTGTCACAAGAACAGTGTGGGAAAGACTTTCCCCATGATTCAGCTACCTCCCACCAGATCCCTCCCGCAACATGTGGGAATTCAAAATGAGATTTGGGTGAGGACACAGCCAACCCATACCAACATGCACACACATACACAAGTGCATATCACACATGTGATGCACACACACAGGTGCTTGTCTTCACAGGAGAGTTGACACCTTGCTGAGTTCCACACTCCAAGCCATCCTATGCACCTGTCCCAGGGATGGAGGCTTCAGCGGAGCTGAGGGGTGTGAAGAACAGGCCTGGCCTGGGAGGGGAAGGAGGGAGGCAGGAAGACCACGTCACTGTGGAGCCTTGGACCAGGGCCTCCTTTCCCTCTCCTTTCTTGGTTCTCAGACTTCTTGGGGTGACCCAAACTGAGATGGTGCCCTCACTGTTTATTTTCCCAAAGCTTCCCCATCCTCCACTTGGGCCTGGCTGCCCTCTCTCTGCCACTCCAGCTGAGGGGTGGAGGCACACCACCAGGCCTGCTGGCACTGTAGCTCTGATAGGTAATAATAGGCCAGTTGATGTATTATGAATGCTAGTGGTTTATAATATATAAAGCATTTCTCCCAGGGTCTTAAGTGCATTTAAGTGCATGCGTGTGTGTTTCCCCGCATGCATGCACATGGGGCTCTGGGGAAGCTCTGCCTCTAGAGGGGCACGTTATTCCCCACCCTCGCTATACACACATTTTCTAGACCGTAAGCGCTGTGATGCGCTTACCTCTAGGTGCTAGAACCCTGCACAGCACCGAGTAAGTGCTCCATAAATGTCTATCAACTTAGCAAGTGGGTGAGTGATGCACAATCATGGACCCCGGAGGCAGTGGCTCCTGAAGGAGGATGGGGCCATTGACAGAACAGGGCACTCAGAGGGGTCCCTTGCCCAGGGAGCATGCTCCAGAGAAAGAGGAGGCCCCTAGGAACAGGCCAGGGGACCGGTGCTCTACCTGGCTGCTCTGGGAGGCAGAGGCCCCCCTTTATCCAGTCCTCAGAGCAACCCGGGCCAGATTGGGGGTGGGCTTGGCTTGGAGGCTGTGTTCTTACTGCCGCCTCTCCTGGGGCCCGTGTCTGTTCCCACCCTGCTGCATGGGCCTTAGCAATCACCTAGCCAGGTGGTGCTGTGGGCCAGCTCCTCCAGCTCGTAAGTGGCAGCCGCGTCTCAGCCCCGTGCCCTTCCCACCCCGTGTCTCGGCAGGTGAGGACCTGCACCCAAGGCTCACAGATGCTTCAGCACCAACCGCAGTCTTTAAAAAGAGTTCAGGGGAGCCTTCCTAGATCGCCAGTGCCTATAGGATTTGATCATAGCAAGACAAAACATTAAAGCAGACATGAGCAAATGGGGCCATGGTGTAATGAACTCCCTTGCACACAGCCTGCAGGTGCCCTGGGGCCCAGGATGCTGGCCCACAGGGTCTGTCCCAGAAGAGGCGCTCGGAAGTAAGAGTAACCATTAGCATGTTCTCTGCCCCAGTTGCTTTTCTGAACACTACGGACATTGGGTGAACAGCATCATCCCCTTGTCACAGATGAGGTACCTGGGGCACAGGAAGAATAAATAACTTGTCCACGGTAACAGCTAGGAAGGGGCAGAGCCAGGTTGGAACCCAGGAGGCTGGCTCTAGACTCTGCTCTTTGCCACCTGGGAGGTAACTCGAGGGGCTGGGGTGCTCGGTTCCTGGCTCCTCTCAGGGACCCGATGTTATGGTGTCTGACTTTGTTCCACCCTGTCCCTCTCTCCCTGACTCAGGGCACCAGTGACTTCTGTGTGGCTCCTGATACCTTCATCCTGAACATTACGGAGGGCCAGATCAGCACAGGTAACACACTCTCGGGTCACTGCTGTGGATGCCTGGGTGGCCGGACGTGTGCCCCTACCCACCTCTTTCAGCCCTGTAGCCATCCAACCCCTCGTCAGCCCTGAACTTCAAGTCCAGCTCATGCTCTAGGCCATTTCCTAGAAACTGCCTCCCTTGGGAGCTTGGGGACAGGGAGGGAGGCCTGGCTTGGCCACCAAGGATGATAGAGATCTCATCTGATCATTTGTGAGCTGCCTAACACCATGCTGTTGCCCTGCAGAGGTGACTCGCTACTACCTGTATTGTAGCCAGAGTGGAAGCAGCCCCTTCCAGCAGGTACGGCCCCTCACCCTGCCCTCAGCTGCTCCATCAGCTCGTTCTCTCCTGACCCTAGGCCCTACCACTCAGCAGGATAGCAGAGGTGGTGGGACCTTCCCTACTTCATTGTGGTCCTCTCCTTAGCTGCTTCTGAGCTCTGGGGTGGGGCCGAGATTCTGCACTTGTCACAAGCTCCCAGGTAAGGCAGGGACTGCTGGTCCGAGGACCACATCTGAGCTGCAAGCAGGGAGAAGACTGTGCAGCTTTCAAGAAGCCAGAGGGATGGGGGGAGCCTTCCTGCGAGTGGAAGGGCCTGTGCAGCTGCAGCCAAGTGGGAGGGACAGGAGCACAGGCCACCTGGCCGCCCGTGGGGCTCCTGGGAGATGGAGCCTCACGGCGGGGTTGTGTGTCTCCTGGCGCAGACACTGACCACCTTCCAGCGCGCGCTCACCACCATGCAGATCCAAATCGCAGGGCTGCTGCAGTTCGCCGTGCCCCTCTTCCCCACCGCAGAGGTAAGGCAAACTTGCAGGGACTGGGGAGCCCCCGATGAGCCCTGACCATGAGCCCTGACCGCCCTTTCCCTGCCCCAGCCCCAGGGCCAGGCTGCGCACAGCTGGCTGCTGGCTCTCTGCGCTCCCACCCCTTGACTCAGCTCCCTTCCTGGGCTCTAGAGGTCCCTGAGCACAGCTGCTGTGGTGGTTCTCTGCGTCAGCTCTCCCCCACAGCCCCTCGGCCTCTCTTTCTCTTCCCACTTCAGAAAGACCTGCTTGCAATCCAGCTCCTGCTGAACTCCTCAGAGTCCAGCCTCCACCAGCTGACTGCCATGTTGGACTGCCGAGGGCTGCACAAGGTGCTGGGGGCCCTGGGGGCACGTGGAGAGGGTGAGGGCACCCAGCAGGCCTCTTCCAGAGAGAAGCCAGTGGAGGCCGAGGAGAGCAATGGCCTGGACCCCCTTCAGGCCCAGGAAGGGAGCTGAAGCCAGACATTGGAAGGGAGGGGTACCTGGCCTCTCTCCAGGGCCTGAGTCAGGAAAACTCAGTATAAGGGTTCAGGGATGGGAGGGTTGGATCTGGTTGGCCCTGGGTCACTGGGGAGACCCTGACCCATAAGAGGGAGGCTGTTCCCCGTTGTCCAGACTCCTGGCCGTTTGGTCAGCACATCTGTCTCCCTGGGTTGCAAGTAGATGTCGCAGTCCCATTGCCAGAGTCATCCCTCCAGGAACTTGGAATATCAGACAGACACAATGATGCAGGAGACACACTGGGAGCACGTGACAGCCCCTTACCCCCAAGCAGTGAGCCAGGGTATGGCGACAGCCTTCACATCCCATATGGATATTGTTGGCATCATGGCTGTCAGCTCCACACTTGGCCCTGTTCTGTGCATTTTATATCCAGGATGTCATTGAGTCCTTGCTGTTAACACTGTGAAACACATGCTGTTTCCTAGGAAATGTACATACGTGTGTGTGGATGGACAGATGCATAGATACAGCTATTCTGTGTGTGTGCCGTGTGGGTGTGCATTTGTGTTTGTGTGTGTGCACGGTGTATGTCTGTAAGTGGGTACATGTGTGTGTGGTGTGTGTGCTGGTGTGTCGTACACGTGTATGTACATATATGTGGTATGTGCATGTGTGTGGTCGTGTCTGTGCATAGGGAAAATGCGTGTGTGTGTGTGTGTGTGTGTGTGTGTGTGTGTGTGTAAAGTGGCTTACTGAAGAGTCCTGAGCTGGCACATCAGGTGCTCGCGTTTGGATCCTGGTAGTCTGACCTCAGAGCTGAGAACGTGGCAGTCACCCCTGTCTCTTCTCTCCTTCCCCTTCTGCATCTAATCCCCAGCAAGTCTTGGCAGCTGTCCTCTCAGCTGTACGCTGAATCCATTCCTCTCTCTCCACGGCTTCCACCATGGTCGGGTCCTGCTCCTGCAGCAGTCGGTGGCCTCCTCCCACTTTCTCTTGTCCCCTCATCACCCATGAGCTTTCACACATGCAGCCAGAGTAGTCCTTTTGCAAAATAGACTGGATCACATCCCTTCCATTCCCAAACGCTCCCATGTCTTTCTGACCCCCTTTGGAAGTCTGTACTCCTCTCCTGCATGGCAAGGCCCAGCGTGACCCAGCCCCTCCAGCCTCATCTCCTGCTGACCTGTGTTCTCTCTCTTTCCTGAGCAGGCCAAGTCTGCCCCCTCTGCCCCCTCTTCTCAAGGGGTGCTACTTCTTGCCCTGCTGGCCTCAGCTTCAGTGCCCTCTGTCTCAGTTCCCCACCCTGCAACCTCATCTGCTCTGTTCAGAGCCAGCTTCTCAGTGCCTAGCACACAGTAGGTGCTCAGCAAATGTTTGCAGAGTGAACCCAAGAAGCCCGTTGTTAGGCTCCAGAGTGTGGCCCCTTAATGGCACTATAAGGCGCTGAGGATGGGAGGCATTCAGGAGACCCCAAGTCCAGGCTTTGCCCCGACTCCTCACCAGCTGTGTGTCCCTCCTCTTCCTCCAGGACTACCTGGACGCCCTTACTGGCGTCTGCTACGATGGCCTTCAGGGCCTGCTCTACCTCGGCCTCTTCTCCCTCCTGGCCGCCCTAGCCTTCTCCATCATGATCGGCGCGGGCCCAAGGGCCTGGAAGCACTTCACCACCAGGTGGGTTGCCCAGTAAGGAGACCACCAGCTGTGGGGCTCCTGGGAGGGCAGCAGGCAGGGGGCTCTGCTTGCGCTTGAGCTGATAACCCAGGACCGAGGGTTATCAGAGGGCCCAGGCATTCGGCCCAGCAGGCTGTCTGTCTGACTTCTACAGAAGCTTCCCCAAGAGTCCAGACAGACCCTGCAAAGGAGTCTGGTGAGGCCCAGAGCAGGAGCTGGGCCCAGGGTGGTGACAACCCTCAGGCCACAGCCTGGCCTCCCTTTTCCTCTCTTCTTACGCAGACTTGCGATCTGGAGTGAGGAGAGTCCCTGGTGCTGGGAGGGGCGCCCCGGGGATACCAAGGATACATGGTGTCACTGTTATCGGGGAACCTGCAGTCCCCTTGACGAGATGGACAGGGACAAGACTGTGTGTAGACACCTCATGGGCAGACTAGGCAAGAGGACGCAGAGTAGGGAGGACCCCCGTGCGCACGGTCAGCGTGGTGGGGAGCCCAGAAGAGCTGATCGTGAAGTTGGGAGTGGGCCAGAATGGTCTGCAGGCGGCAGGGCTGGCGACCATGCTTTAGAGGAGTCTCAAGGAGGCACGCGTGGCCAGAGAGAGTCCTGGGAGGGAAGGCAGGGAAGCAGGACAGCACCCGGCTGCCTCGGAGCCTTCTTCACCCTTCGCAGCTGGCCATCTTCTACCTGTTGTTCTAGAAACAGAGACTACAACGACATTGATGATGATGACCCCTTTAACCCCCAAGCCTGGCGCATGGCGGCCCACAATCCCCCAAGGGGGCAGCTTCACAGCTTCTGCAGCTACAGCAGCGGCCTGGGCAGCCAAACCAGCCTGCAGCCCCCGGCCCAGACCATCTCCAACGCCCCCGTCTCCGAGTACATGTATGGGCTGCACACACTACCCAGACAGCATGTGGGGGTCTACAACACTGGCGGGGAGGGGGAGGAAGGCCCCCAAGACCGCCCGTGGTCCCCATTACAGCCAGGGGGTATCTGGAGGGAAGGCCCCTGGGGAGCATCTGGTCACCCCTGCACATCCACATGTGCTGGAGGCAGATCCACGGATGTCGGGCAGCAGCCTCTGCCACAAGCTGGTGGGACAGGCCCCAGGCCTGAGATGCTGCTTGTCTCCAGGCCATGCTGCTCCTAGCCGCTGTTACCCATCAGCCACTTGTCCCCAGGCTTCCCAAGGCGCTTATCCATGTCTGCTCACCACAACCCCTCCACTCTATCTGTGGTCTGGTTCCATCCCCCCACTCCCATGTGCTCACCCATGGGGCCCTCCTGTAGAGATCTACACACAGCCCCACTCCCACGCTGTCCCCTCCTGAGCTCTCCTCTCATCCCTGCAGGAACCAAGCCATGCTCTTTGGTAGGAACCCACGCTACGAGAATGTGCCGCTCATCGGGAGAGCCTCCCCTCCGCCTACGGTAATTAGGGCTCTGGCCCTTCCTTGTCGGGGTAACACGTAAAGAGAAAACCTGCCAACCCAGTGAATCCTCTCCACAAAGGTAGAAAAGAGTGAAACAGTTCTGTTCTTGAATAAGCACTAAACCAGGCCATCATGGGTACCCCAGGCAGTCTGCTAAGGAGATTGCAAAGACACAAGGAATCTCACTCCTTCCCCTGGCCGGGTGGGAACAAGACACAACTCACTGCATACCTGTCATCCTGCAAGAGGACTTGATGGCACTGTTTGTCACAGTAGTACACGAAAACCCACTAATTGGGGTGGCCATTCTGGCCAGGTAATTGCCTTTATTTATTTTTTGAGATGGAATCTCGCTCTGTTGCCCAGGCTGAAGTGCAGTGGTACAGTATCGGCTTACTGCAACCCAGGTTTCAAGCAATTCTCCTGCCTCAGCCTCCCAAGTAGGTGGGATTACAGGTGTGTGCCACCATGCCCAGCTAATTTTTGTGTTTTTAGTAGAAATGGGGTTTCACCATGTTGGCCAGGCTGGTCTTGAACTCCTGACTTCAAGTGATCCGCCTACCTCAGCCTCCCAAAGTGCTGGGATTTCAGGTGTGAGCCACCGCACCCGGCCAGCTAATTGCCTTTATCCAGAGGAAAAGTAAAACTCCTATTTCCATGATAATCAGATAGCTCCAGCTTGGAGCCCGGCCCACAGGTGAACTGTCCCTGAGAAGGAGATGAGCTGCTGTCCTCCTGATGTTCCGCTTCCAAGAGCTGGCTCCCAGACCTAAGAAACATACCTGGATTGTAACGCTGGCAAGGGCCATAGTCGGCCTTTAAGAGGGTTTGCGTACATCTCAAAAGACAGAAATTATTTACAATGATAAGTTTTCTAAAGGAAATATTCCAAGAAGTGAGGGGGTCTCTTTTCCTTTTTGCATCAGAGAAAATTAAGGACATGTTTTTCTTTTTAGATGTCTGTTTACCTTAACCCTTAGTCTCCCCTGGGCTGGAGGGTGGGTTGGCCGTGGTGGCGGGTCTGGGAGGGCTGAACCCAGATACACAGCCTTCCTCAGTCCATCTCAGTTCCCCATTTCCCTAGGACTGTGCCCAAGTGGGGTCTGTGCCTCTTGTCCACCCACCACCTCCAGCCTGGGTACCTGAGATGCAGCCTCAGGGGAGGAGCTCAGGGTACGAGGGGTGGGCAGGCTAGGAAGAAAAGACCCTGCTGTCTCATCACAGAGAAGTTTCCAAAGGACACGGAAATGCGGACTGAGACAGCTGCAGACAGTGAATTGACCGTCAAGGGTCAGGGACACAGACTCCCATGCCAAATGCCTGGGTCAAATCCCAGCTAATCGTTTATGGTCTCTGTGGCTTTGGACAAGCGCTCTGCCTCTCTCTGCCTCAGTTTCCCCAGCTATAGAATGGATATGGGCATACCAGCACATACTTCATGAGACGGAGTCATTGTTATCAAAGTGCACATGTGAAGTACACAGTAAGTGCCACAAGACAGTGAGTGAGCTGTTGCTATTTTTTCTTCCACCCCACCTTCTCTGCAGAGCTGTGGCATTTATTAATTTTTTTTTTTTTTTGAGACAGAGTCTCGCTCTTTTGCCCAGGCTGGAGTGCAGTGGCGCAATCTCAGCTCACTGCAACCCCCACCTCCGGGTTTAAGCGATTCTCCTGCCTCAGCCTTCTGACTATCTGGGATTACAGGTATGTGCCACCATGCCTGGCTAATTTTTGTATTTTTAGTAGAAACAGGGTATCACCAGGCTGATCTCGAACTCCTGACCTCAGGTGATCCACCCGCCTCGGCCTCTCAAAGTGCTGGATTAAAGGTGTGAGCCACTGCACCCCACCAGAGCTGTGGTATTTATAAGAAAGGACAAGGGAAATCAAAGACAGCCCAGAAGTCTGCCGCGGGGTGGGCAGAAGGGTTCTGGAGCCAGGCGCCTGCCTTCATCGGGCCAGGCAAGGCATTTCACTGCCCCTCTCCAGGTAGTTTGGAAGGGTACGTCCAACAGGAAAACAGAAGCACTGGAGCCCGAGTACCTGGGACCAGCATGATAGGCCTGGGCCCTGAGGACCCAGGAGCGGCACGCACAGGCACCCAGGGAGTCAGCTTCCCAGTCTGGCACTTGGTGAAAATCATAGTGTCAGACGCAGGAAAAGAGCAAGTGGAACCCGGTCCCTGTCTTCAGGAAGTTCCAATCTATAGAAGGGGCACTGGAGAAGGCTGCCTGTAGAAAGTGCCACAAGGTACTTTGGGACCAGAAAGAAGGAACTGTCCTTGCTGCTGCTCTAGGGGATTCCAGAAAGTTCTATTTAATAGGTGGCATTTGAGCCGCAGTGTAGAGCAGGTGATCACTCAGGAGCAATTTTCCCCCCAGGGGATATTTGGCAATGTCTGGAGACTTTTTCCTCACCTCACCTGGGGGCTGGGGATGGAGGCTGGATGCTATCGGCCTCAAGTGGGTGGAGCTCCCACCACAAAGCATGGTGCACCCCAAATGTCCACAGGTTATGGGGCCTGTCCTCTGTGTGTGGGATGTTTAGCAGCATCCCTGGCCTCTGCCCACTGCAAAGCCTGCTGGAACCAGTCCCCCGTCATTCACTCCTGTGCCACCACCTTGGCACCTTTGCAGGGAGCACCACCTGCTGTCCCTTCCCAAAGCTTTACAAACACAAGCCCCAGCCTCATGTTGTTCCTTCTTCCTGGGGTCCTCAGGAGTGAGCTGGTTGAACCTGTATTCAAAGGCAGCACCATTTATTTTATTTTTTTGAGACAGAGTCTCGCTCTGTCGACCAGGCTAGAGTACAACAGTGCAATCTCAGCTCACTGCATCCTCCATCTCCTGGGTCAAAGCAGTTCTCCTGCCTCAGCCTCCTGAGTAGCTGAGATTACAGGCATGTGCCACCACACCCTGCTAATTTTTGTATTTTTAGTAGAGACGGGGTTTCACCATGCAGGCCAGGCTGGTCTTGAACTCCTGGCCTCAAGTGATCTGCCTGCCTCGGCCCCCCAAAGTGCTGAGTTACAGGCATAAGCTACTGTGCCCAGCCTAAAAGTCAGTGCCTTTTAAATCCCAGCCTAGTTTCTCTCACTAATCAGAAGCTTCCTGGGTTCTTTTTTCCAACCACCAGCTGCTGTGGCCCCAGCAATGCAGAATGACCTTAATATTAATCTAAGTACAACATAATTAGGGGAAATCTGCTGAGAAAAAAGGATTACTCTATGCGTTGTGATGCCAAATAAAAATGATTTTCGGATTACCTTCTGTTTGAAAGATCCAGGCCACTCGTCCTGCCATTAGCAGAGATGATCAAGAACTGACCTTATTTGCAAGGCTCAAGGACAGGAAAAACCTTCCTCCCTAGATTTAAGACCTGCCCAGAAATGCTTAGTGCTTTGGCCAAGTTGACCTAGCCCAGTCCCACCCAGCTCAGCCTGCCCCGGGGAGACCTTTCCACCTCCAGCAAGGGACCTAGAATGGCATGTAATGATGCCGCTGACGAAGGAAGCCCACGGCGTGGAGGGTGTGGGTGTCTGCCCCAGTAAAGACAGCACAGTTGGCTGCGCCCCACCCTTCCCAGGGTGCCTGCTCTATATACTCTTTAGCACCCAGCAAGTTCAAGAGGTGGATAAATTCCTCCCTCTGACAAGCGCCCTCTCTGGGACAGTCAGGGGATCTCACTGGGTGGGTGACGTCACACCTGGTGATCTGGATATACTGCCTGTCCCTTGCTGGAAGTGTGTCTTTCCCCAGCTCCGCCTTCAAGGAATCATCTCTTCTATCCTTCTGGGCATTGTTTCTCGGACTTGAGGAACAAAAATGACCCGGGGCAATTGTTAAAAATACTGACGTTGGGACTTCTCTTCAGACTTACAGAAACAGAATCTCTTGGGGTAGGAGCCTGGGGGATTTTAACAAACTTATTATCATTCAAGTTCCGGAAAACTGCTTTGAGAAGGAGGGTCTTGGCCAGTGCAGTAGCTCAAGCCTGTAATCCCGACACTTTGGGACGTCGTGGCAGGCGGGTCACTTGAGGCCAGGCTGGCCAACATGGTAAAACCCCATCTTTACTAAAAATACAAAATTTAGCCAGGCGTGGTGGCAGGTGCCTGTAATCCCAGCTACTCAGGAGGCTGAAGCAGGAGAATCACTTGGACCCAGGAGGCAGAGGTTGCAGTGAGCAGAGATGGCGCCACTGCACTCCGGCCTGAGTGACAAGAGTGAGACTCTGTCTCAAAAAAATAAAGAAGGAGGGTCTCATATTTGCATATGCATCAGAATTGCCTGAGGGACCCACCCCATTTCTGATTCAGAAAATCTGGGTTGGAGCCTGGAGATGTGCTTTTTTTTTTCTTTGAGACACAGTTTTGCTCTCATTGCCCAGGCTGGAGTGCAGTAGCACGATCTCGGCTCACTGCAACCTCCACCTCCCAGGTTCAAACAATTCTCCTGAATCAGCCTCCCTAGTAGCTGGGATTACAGGCACCCACCACCATGCCTGGCTAATTTTTTGTATTTTTAATAGAAACGGGGTTTCACCGTGTTGGCCAGGCTGGTCTCAAACTCCTGACCTCAGGTGATCCACCTTCCTCAGCCTCCCAAAGTGCTGGGATTACAGGCTTGAGCCCCCACGCCTGGCCAGAGATGTGCGTCTGACATTCCTAGGTAAAGCTCCTGCTGCTGCTGCTCTGGAGACTGTGCTTGGAGAACCACTGCTCCGAGGCCAGCTTCTTCAGTCTCAGTGCTGTTGACGGGCAGCGTCATTTTCGGTGGGGGGATTCCTGTGCATTGCAGCATGTCCAGCAGCGCCCCTGGCCTCTACTCAGTACATGCCAGTAACACCCCAGCCCCCACCTGTGACAACCAGAATGTCTCCAGACATTGCCTAATGCCCCTGGGAGGCAAAAACACCCCTGCTTGAGACCCACTGGGTCAGAGAGCCTCATGCTCCCTCCTCCCCTACCCCACCCCAGGTGGAAGCATTCAGTTCCCCCTGATGGGAATGGCCTGGACCCCTGAAACTTCCTTGTTCAGGAGAGTGGCAGGTTCTGGAAGTTTGTTAGAAGTGTAGAATCTCAGGTCCTGTGGATGTGATCCCCGGGTGGCCTGTGTGCAGGGTAGGAAGTGAGAGGCTGGCCGGGGCGGTGTCTCACGCCTGCAATCCCAGTGCTTTGGGAGGCCGAGGCGGGCAGATCACGAGGTCAGGAGATCGAGACCATCCTGCCCAGCGTGGTGACACCCTGTCTCTACTAAAATTACAAAAATAGCAGCTGGACATGATGGCACGCACCTGTACCAGCTACTCGGAAGACTGAGACAGGAGCATCGCTTGAACCCAGGAGACAGAGGTTGTAGTGAGCTGAGATTACACCACTGAACTCCAGCCTGGCGACAGCAAGGCTCTGTCTCAAAAAAAAAAAAAAAGTAGCGAGAGGCCCTCTCCACGGCCAAGGACGAGTGACTAAGGGCTATCGAGCACTTTCTCTGTACTGGGTCTCTGCCCCTCCAGCTCAAATGCACACTGGAATTGCCTAAAGATCGCGAAAAAACACTGGTGGTTCTTTAAAATGCCTAGTTTTATGTGATGTCCATTGTCTTTTTTTTTGGAGACACGGTCTTGCTGTGTTGCCCAGGCTGGAGTGCAGCGGTTGACCTTAGCTTGCTGTAACCTCCACCTCCTGGGCTCAAGTACCTCCTCCTCATGCCTCAGCCTCCGAGAGGCTGGGACTACAGGTGCACACCACCACGCCCAGCTAATTTTTTGTATTTTTGATAGAGACGGATTTTTGCCACGTTGCCCAGGCTGGTCTCAAACTCCTGGGCTCAAGGGATCCTCCTGCCACTGTCTCCTAAAGTGCTGGGATTACAGGTACGGGTCACCATCGTTATGTGCATTTTGCATCAATAAAAATATACATATTTATATACTGGTGGGTGTGGCCTGGACCTCAGGATGTTTTTAAGCTCCCCAGGTGTTTCTGATGCACAGCCCAGTTTGAGGGCAGCTGTGTTAGGGCTCCTGCCTGCTCCATATCATGTCACCCTTTCAGTGTAAGAGCTGAGTGAGCTTAGGTCCACATTGCAGGTAGGGAAACAGGCTAGGAAAGATTGGAGAACCTACGCTAAGGTCACAGGGTAAGATGCGTAGCTGGGATTTGAACCTGTGTCTCTGAATCTCTGGGCCTCTACCCCCAGCCTGCTGGCTGCTGACTGCTTCTCCATGTACTGCCGCACCCTGACGCTGCCCCCAGTGTGAGGGCACAGGCTGGGTGCTGGGGGTGTGTGCTGGGGCGGAGTGGACATTGGAGGACAGCTGGTCTGTGTGTGCATTTTTTATTTCAGGCCGGGAGTCAGATGTCCTGATGGATGCAGGTGGGGGCATGACCAGGCTTCCCCCATTCCCTAAAACACCCAGCCCAGTTCCACTCTGAGAAGTCCCCAGAATCTTTGCTGGTGCAATGTCCAGTTGACCCTGCCCTGACCACCCCTCTCTTCTCTCTTGGCAGTACTCTCCCAGCATGAGGGCCACCTACCTGTCTGTGGCGGATGAGCACCTGAGGAACTACGGGAATCAGTTTCCAGCCTAACAAACTTTCAGGGGTTCCTGCCTCCTTTTTCCGTTTTGGTTTTTAATTAATGCAAACCCAAGCTGCATTTCCTTCATAGAAACCAAAGGCATCTGGAGCCCAAGAGGCCTCCTTTTGTGGCAGAGGAGCAGCTGGGATTCCCAACCAAAGCCCCATGGGGGCAGAAGACCCGCCACGCAGGCCAGCCTCTCTTCTGCCCTGCTCTCCACACCAGAAATGCCCCCAGGTGCTTGGCCTCCTCAGAGGCGCCATCCCTGAGCTGGCTGCCTGGCCCTGCTCACGCCTCCGTCTCACCCTCGCCAGGAGGGGAGTGGCTGTGAGGAATGGGCCAGGTCAGATGCCACCATCAGAGAGCTGTATGTTCTCTCCTGTCCCACAACCATGACTCTGCCTCTTGTCAGCACGGCCGAGGGCCCAGATGACCCCTCTCAGAGTCACCTAAGTCCTCCGTTCCCTGCAGGTAACACTGAGAAGGGCTGATCAGGAGATGCTCTTTAAGAAAGACGCACCCCTGATGAGACCAGAACAGCCCAAATCAGAGTTCCCAGGGCCAGATAGGCTCCTCCTGAGCCATAGAGGGGAGGTGTCAGGAGAGGTCTGCAATGGGGGACAGTGGCTCCGGGGCTGGGGGTCACAGCCTGGTGGACCCTGGCAGGAACAGAGGTGAGAGCCTGCTGCATTCTGCCTGTCTCCCTAACCCTCCATCACCTCGCCTCTATTCCAGAATCAGTGCTGCAGACACATTAGCTGCAGATAGGCTCAGTCTCAGGTATGAAGACACTTTGAAACAACTTTAATTCTTTCTTTACTCCAGTGTTTTAAACATGTTGATTATCCAAAGAATTGAAACTCCTAGCACCTCCAGTTTTTACAACAGATTTGCATCTCATTCCTCACCCTGGTTTTTAGGTCACTACTTTTGCAGATTTTGCTAGCCCCGGCCAGTTCTCCAGATCTGGAGGAGAGGGAAAGGAGCCGATTCTTAAATAAAATAAGGATCAGTGAGACATCCTGTCCCAAGCTGCCGTTTGATGGGGATCTGGGTTTATCTCACCCACGGAGGGAGGATCTTTAAGAGGAGAGAAAAGCCAAGAGGGAGAGTGGAGTTCCCTGCTCTAGCGGACTAGCCGAATGCCCACATCAGCGGTCCCCTCCTGTTGTCTCCAAGCAAGTTTGCCAGAAAAGGTTTTAGCAAAGTGGTACCACTGTGTCTTCATGGGAGGTTAGGCCTCTGCCCTGCCTCCCCCAGCACCTGCCCCTCCCGGTGTCCTCGGCCCTGGCCTGCTCAGCCACAGGAGCTTGTTGGCCAGGAGGGAATAATGTCCCCCAGTCCTCCCTGTTGGGGGGCCAAAGTTGGGGTCTTTGGTGCTTCTAACCTCCTGCCAACCTGGAGCAGCACCCCAGCCTTGCACACTGAAGCAAGGGCGTGGCGTGACTTGGCTTGGGACAAGGTTCTGTTTCTGTTTTGGAAGACCCTCCTGTCGTTGAAACATGGACAGCAGTGTGGTCCTCAGCTCCCAGCGAAGCCTCCATGACGGAATGAGGCCACAGGGCAGCCGGGACTCCCTGTCTCCCCTGCATTAACCCATGCGCACCGTGTACCATAGACTCACCCTGGTATGTCCGCGTCACACGCAGAGAGGAACTCTGCGATGTCAAAGTGTTGCTTCTTAAAGTTTATTGGCAACTAGAGGGTTGTTTTTAATGCATGGAAACTAAACAGATTCCTCGGGGAGTTCCTGAGGGAACCAGGTGGGCAAACCTTTGCTTATATACGTGCGGCCTCACCTGGAAGAGAAATAAACCACGTGTACTAAAATGTGCACTCTGTCTCTGACTCCTCAGCTGCAGGGAAGAACGAGGGTATTGAAAGATGGAGCGGCCCCTCCGGCAGGTCATGTGGTGGGAGGCTTAGAAGCAGATTCCAGTCACGATTTCCATGCCAGGATTGAAAGAGGGGCTTGAATGAATGTCACGGGGCTCTCGCATGGCCTCTAGCTGCTCTTAGAGCACCAGGGACAGGACTGACTTCTGCTCTGCTCTTTCTCCAGAACTCCCCCTAAAGGTCACTGCTTTTTTTTTTTTTTTTTTTTTTTAAAAGAAAGAGTGTCTCTGTCACCCAGGCTGTAGTGCAAGTCAGGATCTCAGCTCACTACAACCTCCACCTTCGGGGTTCAAGCGATTCTCCTGCCTCAGCCTCCCAAGGAGCTGGGATTGCAGGTACCCATCACCACGCCCAGCTAAGTGTTGTGTTTTTAGTAGAGATGGAGTTTCACCACGTTGGCCAGGCTGGTCTTAAACTCAACCTCAGGTGATCCGCCCGCCACCACCTCCCAAAGTGCTGGGATTACAGGTATGAACCACCTTGCCTAGCAGGTAACTGCATTTCAATCCCCAAATGAGATTGGCTTTGGGGGATTCCATTGTCTCGTAGCTGGCGTGGGAGCTGAGTTGCAGGCTGGCTCTGAGTGAACTAGGAAGAAAGCCTTGGGAGTGTGCCAGCCCGCGTGTGGTCTGATCACCGCTGCAGTGTCATCTCCCTTTCCTGTCTCAGCAGCATTAGTGACTCCAGCAAGGGAAAGGAGTTGGGTGGGTCCTGGCCCCCTGTTTTCCCTGCCAGCCTGCAGGTGGGGAAACATCCCAAACATCCTCTGAACAGCAGCCTGACTGCTGACTCGGAACAGCCAGCTGTAGGAAGAGGGACTGGAGCTTGGTCTGCTCGCGGAGAGAGACAGAGAGCAGCAAACTCCACCAGGCCCCTCTGCAGGCGGAGCTTCCGCCAGGAACGGGCGAGTGTCCCAGCTGTCATTTAGAGTCCACCACTTACCACAGGGAACGGCCAACAGAGCGGTTTCTTCTCCAAAGCTAATTCATCTCCAGCGAGATTTCTCCCTCCTCCAAAGCTGTACAGTCTTAAATTTAGGAGCAGCAGGGGTGTTATCACAGTCTCTTAACTCCCCACATTGCGGACCACTCAAGAAGCCTGCTGTGTCCTTGACAGATACACCCATCCGGAAAATTTCCTTTCCTTTCTTCCCCCTTTCATTCATTTAAAAATAGATTGTCACCAGGAGTGCTGGCTCGTGCCTGTAATCTCAGCACTTTTGGGATCCAAGGCGGGGGTCAAAGGCAAGAAGATCTCCTGAACCCAGGAGTTCAAGACCAGCCGGGGCAATGTAACCCCATCTTTAAAAATAAATACGGCTGGTGCAATGGCTCGTGCCTGTAATCCCAACACTTTAGATGGGAGGCTGAGACAGGTGGAGGTCAGGAGGTTGAGACCAGCCTGGTCAACACGGGTGAAACCCCCATTTCTACTAAAAATACAAAACGTAGCTGGGTGTGGTGGCGGGAGCCTGTAGTCTCAGCTACTTGGGAGGCTGAGGCAGCAGAATCGCTTGAGCCTGGGAGGTGGAGGTTGTGGTGAGCTGAGATGACACCACCATACTCCAGTCTGGGTAACAGACCCTGTCTCAAAAAATAAATACATACATACATAATGGATTGATTGCTTAACATAGGAGTCAATAAACTAGAGCCAGTGAACCCAGCCTGGCCAGCCGCCTTGGAAGGCTTGTGGGTATAAAATAGTTTTTATATTTTTAAATAGTTTTTTTAAAAAATCAGACATTTGCAACTTATTTTGTTTTTTTGTTTTGTTTTGTTTCTGAGACAAAGTCGTGCTTTGTCATCCAGGCTGGAGTACAGTGGTGTGATCTCAGCTCACTGCAACCTCTGTCTCCCGGGTTCAAGCAATTCTCCTGCCTCAGCTTCCCAAGTAGCTGGGATTACAGGCATGCGCCACTACACCTGGCTAATTTTTGTATTTTTAATAAAGATGGGGTTTCACCTTATTGCCCAGGCCGGTCTTGAATTCCTGGACTCAAGTAATCTTCTGCCTCAGCCTCCCACAGTGCTCCGATTACAGGCATGAGCCACCACACCCGCCCCGTCATCGTTTTTCTGATTACAAAAGAATGTGTGTGGTGCAAACATTTCAAACTTTACAAAAATGTGTGAGAAAGTGAAAATCCCCCGTAATCCATCAACGCAGCGCAAAACGCCAGGACCCGTTTGGTTCACATTCTCCAGGTTTTGGATAATGTGCGTGTAGGAATGTAGTAACACTATACACATTGTTCTGCAATTGGTTTTTCTTCCTAATGCTTTATCTTAGACATCTTCTCGTCATTCTTTACAAATTCACTCCACTTTTGGGCCAGGTGCAGTGGCTCATGTCTATAACCCCAGCACTTTGGGAGGCCGGGATCAGTCTGCCAACATGTGAGATCCCGTCTCTACAAAAATATAAAAAAATTAGCCAGGCATAGTGGCGTGCACCTGTAGTCCCAGCTACTCGGGAGGCTGGGGTGAGAGGATGTCCTGAGCCCTGGGAGGTCTACAGTGAGCTGTGATCATGCCACTGTACTCCGGCCTTGGTGACAGAGCAAGGGCCATGTCTCCAAAAATAAAAATGAGGGCCGGGCGTGGTGGCTCATGCCTGTAATCCCAGCACTTTGGGAGGCCAAGGCGATTGGATCACCTGAGGTCAGGAGTTCGAGATCAGTCTGGCCAACATGGTGAAACCCTGTCTCTAAAATAAAGAAAGAAAGCAGTAAAGTAATGGGCCCATGCCCCTAAAGCCAATGCGTTCCCCACATACCCATCACCCAAAAGCAGCTGGTCTGACGGAACAACAAAAAAAAGTGTTCTTCTTTCCACCACCCGTGCCAGGGGTACAGAGAAGAGCGGAGACTATGTCAGCATCAAAATCCCATAGAGAAAAAATACTCTGGCCGGGCACAGTGGCTCACACCTGTAATCCCAGCACTTTGGAAGGCTGAGGTAGGCAGATTACTTGAGATCAAGAGTTTGAGACCAGCCTGGCCAACATGGTGAAATCCCGTCTCTACTAAAAGTACAAAAATTAGCTGGGCGTGGTGGCAGGTGCCTATAATCCCAGCTACTCAGGAGGCTGAGGCAGGAGAATCGCTTGAACTCGGGAGGTGGAAGTTGCAGTGAGCTGAGATCGCCCCACTGCACTCCAACATGGGCGACAGAGCAAGGATCCATCTCAAAAAAAAAAAAAAATGCTCTTCCCACCTACCAACGATTTGTCCATTTCATGGGTGCCTTCCTGCAAGCACAACTCAAATGCTTTCCTGAGGCTTATGCGCACAAAGCAGCACTCATATTTGTCTTTGAACAGGTGAACAAAAGTCAGTGTCCACGGTCATGTTAGCTGTACACAAGTGTGTCACGCTGATTCACAGGAACTCGCTGAGCTGTTCGTTAAGTCCTAGGTGATCAGGTAGACAAACAGGGGTGCTAGTAACCTGTTAAACACCAGGGGGAAGCTCGTGGGGAGAAGAGGACCTCATTGCTGATAGGTTTGAGTGAGAGGGTTTTTGCAACATCCGAGGGCAACATCAGGCAGGCAACTCACAGTCTGGACTGTCGGGTCTGACCCACAGTCCCTGACCCAGCGATGGATAAACAAATGCACTCAGACACAGATATCCAGTGAAAGAGTGGGCCAGGGGTCCAGGCCACTCACAGACACCGAGGAGGGTGCTGTAAAGAGTCAGTGGCTGCAGCCCTCACAAGCTGGTGCTGTGGGCATTTATTCAGTATAGATTTAATGACAGGCTTTGAGTCAACACACTTGTCGATAATTAACGTGGCTGCCCTCCCCCAAAGAGAGCAGTCCTACAGACGATGAAAGGGCAGGCTCTGAGGCTTAAGTAAACTAACTTACCTAGATCAGTTTCTTTACATCCCCTAGTTATCTAACTTAGGCTTTCAGGCACTGGATAAGGGAATCTGGCTGCCTTCAGGCAAATCCTATTCCGAGGCTTTTGCAAGACCCTCTGGCCTTCCAAGAAGGTTTGCATCCATTTTATAATTTTTCCCACCACCCTGTCCTACACTGGACCGATGAGGCCTGGATCTGGGAGACAACACATAGGTGCAGTCACTAATGCCCAGGAGAGAGGTGGAGGAGCCCAGAAAGAGGAGCAGAGTCCAATATGGGACCCCAGAATTTGAGGAGCCGGCCAGGCATGGTGGCTGAGCCTCTAATCCCAGCACTTTGGGAGGCTGAGGCGGGTGGATCACCTGAGGTCAGGAATTTGAGACTAACTGGGCCAACATGGTGAAACTCTGTCTCTACTTAAAAAAAAAAAAAAAAAAAATAGCTGGGAGTAGTGGTGCATGCCTGTAGTTCCAGCCACTTGGGAGGCTGAGGCACGAGAATCACCTGAACCTGGAAGGTTGAGGTTGCAGTGAGCCAAGATCACACCACTGCACTCCAACCTGCGTGACAGAGTGAGACACTGTTTCAAATATATATATATTTCTGCCTACTTATATATATATTGAAAGAAGCAGGAGGGAAACCAGAGAGCTGGCGTAGGGGAAGAAAGGAGGGGAGGCCTCGAAGTTAGAACCAGGGCTGCAGAGCACACTGACTGGTCAAAAGTTCTTAGCTCTCAAGGGAGAGGCTCCTCCTCCTGTGGAGGATGGAAAGAAGAGCCCACCAGGGAGCGATTTTTGAAGTTTGTGGTTGACAGCCTGGCACAGCATCTTCCAGGACTCCCTCAATCACTGGATGCCTTGTGGTGACCCAGAGCCCCACACCCTGACTGCAGTCTCCCGCATCTCAGCCAGAGTGGGAGGAGAGCAATGTGATTCCACCTCCCCTGGGATTCCTGGCAGCTGCCCCACCCCTCTCCAGCCTTCCTGTCTCCACCGTTCTGGCAGCTGTGCTGTGCAGTGGGAGCACTTCAGGCAGAGGAGAAGCGCCTTGTCAGAGAAGCAGACC